GCTACAAGATAATGTAAACTTAAAAGTCTGTCTTTAATTGCCTCTTACTTGGCGTTGTGACTTACAGATTAAATTTAGAAAACCTTAGAGGGTGGACACTCTCATAAAATTTCATGGTCGTATAATGAGTGGTTTAAAAGGACGCACTCTCTCGGTTACTGGTTATAGATTTGTGTGGACCAGAAAAATGGCTAAAGTTTGTTTGACCATAAATTTTAAATATTCTGCCCCTGTTTACTAAAATATTTATTAAGACATTTTATTTCTGTAAAGCGCAATGAACTTTTTAATACAATTTCTACTATGTACCTTTTTGGAAATTTAAAATTGATCCATAAATAGCGCAAACCAGATAATCTCATACTCTTCACAATTTTAAGGCGTTGTAGTGTTTTTTTTTTGACAACAAAATTTAAAAAACGGACAAGCAGTCTGGGTAGGGTTTTTTACGCTCATTTCAACGGTGTGAAGTTTATTACAATCGGACGTATACTTTTGGCAAAAACTTGGACAGATGTTTATATGTATTTCCTTATGCTGGAATATGTTTTAGCTCACCCTTAAAATGATTAAGAGTTTATGTATATTATGATTACGTGGTTTTTTAACAAATTTTGTGCTAGACTCGTTTTAGATTTTTCACTCCTTGTGTTAATCTTCTGTTTGTGGGGACGAACTAGGTGTAATAATCCCAGCAGGTCAAATAAACGATTCGTGGAGAAAAACAAAACAATATTTTTGAGTATTTGGGGTAAAAGTAATTGTAAAAGTGACTGAATTACTCAAAAAAAAGTAATTCGCTACAATTACTCATTACATTTTTTGAAAAGTAATGCATTACAATTACTCGTTAAGTCATTACTTATTACTTCCAAACACTGCACGAAACTAACATCGCAACATCAATTTTATAATTTTTTAATGCAGCGAGATTTGTCGGACTATAGTCTAACGACCAGGAAAGTTCTGTCGAAATAACCTTCGACTATTTTTTTTTATTGTATCCAAAACGATATATTCACTTTTTGTGAAATACTTAAAATAAAGTCATCTTTCACCACCTCACAAATACATACATACTAAAATTGTGAACTTTTGTATAAATAGTTTGAGATATTTTTTTAGCATAAATACTGTATATCCTTTGTCACACAAAAACCTGAACTCCGGTCCAGGTCGGGTAGTCACTAGTTCAAAAACCTAGTAATTCCGGTCCGCAGTTTTGTTTTGTTTCTTCTGTATTTTCTTCTTCGTCATTTTCATCTTTCCAGATCAGTTTCAGTTTCTTCCAATACCTTAATTTTAAAATTGGTAGAATTTGTTTTTTCCATTAATTTTTTCAAACTGTAACCAATTATTTTCTCCGCAAAGTGTGCTTTAGAAGTTTGCTTCGTATCTTAATACTGATAACATTTTTTTTTTCCAACTTTGTTTATCTAAATTAAATATTACTTTAATTTTTCTCTCTGTCTTTGTAACTGTCTTGCAAAATATTTAGAAGTCATCGGATTGTTATGAAGTTTGTAAAATGTAAAGTTTTTTTATTTCTATTTTCTACTAAATCTGATTAATTGTAAACTTCGAAATTCTGTAACGATTGAGAAGTTATTAGTTGTATTTCAAAAACTTAGAATTTGTTACTTATGGCATATGTGTAGTTATAATTAAGAACTAAAATGTATTTTAAAAGAAATTTGATTTTTAAGATAACATGAAATTAAATAGAACAATAGGTATTCTTCCATTTTTAAGTTGTTGTATTCCTAGACGAACTAATCTTTTACTTTATGAATACATTTTTCACAATTACAGCTGAACTAAAAACTTCACTGCGAAGACGAATACTCTGTAAATGCCATGAATGCAGTGTTGCCAGTTTTCGGGTGCCAGTTTGATACAAGTATATAGTGGTGCCAGTTTGTAGTGCCATTATATCTGTATGTAAATCTGTATATGCAAGGGCGCCCTCTGGTGAGTACACCTTCCAATACGAAATTTCGTAGTTTTTCGTTTCGATGTCAGATGACGCTAATGAGCCGACTCCCATAATGTGACTCGATCTTGAAATGTGTGGCAATTAGTAACTTTTATGAAATAGAAATATATCTGTGTCCTTGTTATGCTCCGTCTTTTCGACAGCAGGTATTTTTTGCTTCCAGTATGGCGATCCTGTTACTGTCATTTGGCCGTCAATTGCCTTGGTGGTAACACGTCTTCCACGACTGTTTGCTGGTTACCGGTGACACTTTCTCGTTGAATAGGGCTGGAGTTACTTTGGGACTGGAATAGTGTTCTTTCCGGTCCGTTAACTCAATAATTCTAGTACAGTCTGTCGTAACCTCAAATCGTAAACACATCAACCTTTCGTTGACAGATAGCGAAAATTACTAACCTCGCGCTATCTTTGTTTAACACATAGGTTAGGTTCCTCTCTGTCGAATTCCGACCACAGGCAGTTTGCCGTACTTTCTAAAAGTAATAGTAGATCTAGTGACTTTAGACTCCCATAAAGTCACTAGATATATACTGGTTATCTAGGGACTTTAGACTCCCATTTAAAAACATACTGGCACCCAAAGTCGGGTGCCACTTTGTAAAATCGGGTGCTACTATTGCAACGAACATACGGTTTGGGTGCTACAATTACAAAAAACATGTATATATATACAAACTTTGCTCGTTTAATAGTATTAGATTGGTAATGAGTTGTGTTTAACTGGTTGCCTGACCTGCCTTGTGATTAACAGTAACACTGCTATCAACGCTGGATAATTGTCAGAATGGTCCAAAAAGCTGAAGTAAAACCATTCGTGATTAAATTAATATTTGTGACTGATCAAATTTCGTAAAATTAAATAAAAAGTGAAGTTGTAATGCTGGTTGCATACCACACTAAATTTTACGTTATGTTATTCGGTGTCAAAAACGTGTCAAGGACTGTTACAAAAACCATTTTTTGCTGCATGCACAAAGTGATTTCTACGTTTCGAACTTAAACAGTCCGTCATCAGAGCTGTAGGTGAGACACCAACTGTGTCCACGGTAAACCAATTTCTTATTGTAGACAAACCAAAATGTCTTTCGCGGGAGTGTTCAACGAGTTTATTCACATGGAGCCCCCTCTTGAGACCATCTACACCGCCCAAGACCACCAATACCATGAGCCCATCAGGCCGTAGCGTTAAATATTCGCTTCTTTTTCTGAATGTGTATATATAGTTATCTTTCAACAAGATATTTATAACGTGTTTCGCATGATAATTTTTTGTAGAGTAATAAAATTTTGCAATTAAGCCCCGCCCCCCGGCTCACGACAAATAAAACAAAATCACAATTGATATGAAGGAAAGTGGGCGGGGCTTATATTTAACCTTTTTTCTTAATATACATAGTCATCTTTTCACAACAAGAAATCTTAATTTTGCAACTCCGCTCCTCCCCTCGATCTAACAACAAATGAAAAATGCATCACAAGTGAGATGGGGCGGGTGGGTGGGGCTTAATTATTGCCTTATTTTCTTTTAATATACAGGGTGTCTCAGAAATAAGTACATTAATTTTAACCAGTAACAGAACTCGTGAAACGGAACAACTTTTTTATCTAGCATTTTTTCGAAAACTCAAGTCGAATTTCGAATTTTCCCACCCATATATTCACGAGCCTTCTATGTTCACCTTAAATAATAACTTAAATAATAGCAACACTACAACAATGAAGAAGGTACCGTAGCAACCGTTTTGACACTGACAATCATTTTTATGTCAATGTTTTTATTAAACGTTGTCTCTTTAAAGTTTGTTTGGCACAGATTTCTAATTTATAGACGAAATGTGTTGAAATGGCATTGTTTTCAAATCTGGAATGCACCGATATCGTTTTAACTAACGTACGGTGAAGCTCGGGGAAACGGCACTCCCGCCCAACGAATTTTTTCAGAAAACCTCCCAAATCGTCTGCCAAATGTGCGCAGTTTTAAGAACGTTGCAGCATTTTCGAGAGTATGGATCTTTTAAACCTGCACCTCAGGATCGGGATAAGTTACGTAGTAATAGAATTGCTAATATTGAAGAGGCTGTTTTGAAGAGTGTCGAAGCTCGACCGGGCACTAGCACGCATCACTGTCTAGTGTGATGTATCAGAGAGTAGTATTTGGAGGATACTCAGAGAACAAATGTACCCCTTTCAGGACCAGAAAGTTCAGTTATTGAAACTTACCACGTAGGCAAAACTTTTGTGAGTGGGTTAATAGAAAAATAAACGAACAAGCAAATTTTGTATCTCTTATACCATCAACTGATGAGGTCGGTTACACGAGGGAAGGTGTTCAACACCCACATTTGGGCCGATGAAATTCCGTACGCCATTAGGCAGCAGGATTTTCAATTTCTCTCTAAATGTTTGTCACATTGACAAGATTAGGAAAATACGTATCCTAGTAACTGTTTTTGACCATAAATTATTAATTACAATAATTATTAGTGTCCATGGGTGACTGAGGATCCATGGGCGGGTAACCTTAATTCGGGTATAACTTTAACAATTTTTAACTTGATAATTAAAAAGTTCTGGACAAAACTCTACTAAAAAAAGTTGTTGAGTTCAATGAGCTCTATAACTGATTAAAATTAATGTACTTATTTCTGAGACACCCTGTATAACTAGTTTGCTCTCAACATGAGATGTGGAGAATGAAGAAATGTGGGGAAATGTGAAAATGGAAAACGACGAAACACAGGGAACTATAAAAGGTGAAACTAAAATGGAAACAGCGTACGATGAGGTAAAAATAGAGACCGAAGAAATTTATATTTTTAATTTTTGTTTCAAGCATTAATAAGACTGAATATTAAATATGTGCAATAAAGTATGAATTTCATTGTTTTTTTTTTATAAAACCATGTGAAACAAAAGAATTCATAGAAAAAAACGGGATTTTTTTTGAGATTAGTTCATGGACTTTAACAAAATTTAGTTTGGCAACCCTGCTCACCAAATTTAATTCGTGTATATTGGGTTGCATAATATGCACGATATTTGAGGTTGTGTTTTTTTGAAACTTTCGGTTAAAAACGGTCGAAACATTTTCCACGCGTTTGACAAATTTTTTAGGTAAGAAAAAATTCATAAACTACCGTATTACTGATAATAACTACTTCAGGCGAATCAGGATGTCCTTCCTGCGGTACTCTCAGAATATTACCGGGGGCCCCAAATCCCCGAACAATGTCCACACTTGTAACGTTTGTCCGTATTTTACGAGATCCCTTTTCGTGATGGTAAACCACGTCAGACAACACCGTGCACCCCTATCCACGTTTAATTGCGGAAATTCCCCACTCGAAACTTTTTACTGTGAAGACTGCGATTTCCAAACGGACTTGACTCTCGTTTTCAAGCAGCACCTGAAACAGTACCACAGTCTGTACGAAAAAGACGAAAATTTGTCGGCTAAAGTCACCGTGCGGAACTACATGTGTGAAAAATGTGGCTTCGAAACACATTTTTGTATGAAATGGCTTCAACATGCCGCTGCGTGTTGTCCGAAGGAACTGAATAAACGCAGAAAATGTACCACCGTGTATGAATGTAATGAGTGTTCTTATAGAACTCAACTGGAACGGCTTTTAAAAGATCATGTAATATCACAGCACGAACAAGACGTTAAATGGTATCAATGTAACGAGTGTCCGTTCAAAGCCAAACTAAAACGAAATTTGCAACTTCACTTGACCACGCAACATCAAAAAGAAGAACGGATTAAGTGGTATAAGTGTGAAAAGTGTTTGTATAAAGATAAATATAGAGCGAATTTACAAAGGCATTTAAATACGCACCACTTAGATGAGGAAGAAATTAACTGGTATGAGTGCGACAAGTGTCCATACAAAAGTAAGTACAGTCATAATTTGGTCACTCACATGAGTACTAACCACTTGGCTAAAAAAGACGTCGTGTGGTACCACTGTGAAGAATGTGAATTTAAAGCTAAAGACAAGTCAAATTTAAATAGACACGTGGTTGCACGTCATTCAGATAAGAAGGAAATTAAATGGTTCAAGTGTAAAGAGTGCCCATATAAAGCTAAGTCAAACGCGAATTTAAAGCAACATGTATTGGCTCGGCATGTAGATGAAGAGGATATTAAATGGTTTGAGTGTAAGGAGTGCCCATATAAGGGGAAACGGGCAGCCCATTTGAAAAGACACATGGAAACGCGGCACTCTGGCAAGAAATAGGTACTAAAATGGCGAAATATGTTAGGTTAAGTGCGTGTTTTATCGGCTGGTAATCGATGATACGCTCTTTGTATTTTTTTAATAAATTTCATTATTTCACTGTGACAGCTCATCATCCCAGTAAAGTAAAGAAAAAAAAACTGCTATGTACTTTTCGTGGTACAACCTTTTAGTGTTATTTTGAATATTCCCGCCACTAATATTAGTTCCAATTCGCAACGTAAGAGGGACGATTTTTAATAGAAATTTCGGTCAAATTTTACAAAGGACACTTCACAATTTCGCACAAACTGTTTGCGTAAAGCGGTTCTACATCACCCCCTGATCACGTTTCTTGCCTTCAAAAGTTGTGGAAATGCTCCCTTGTGTCAGAAAAAAAAAATTAGTGTTCGCCCTATGGTTTGCACCCTATTAGTTGCGCCACATGTAGGCAACCAACTACACACACAGTTGAACTCGCACGAATTCCAATAACTAAATGATCCACGGAACAAGAAGTGCCACGTGTAGGGGTATGTTTGTAATGGGGTGCCTCCACTAAAAACCCGACATTACACTTACGCGTGTAGTTGACTATAAAAAGTGAGGTTATGTTGGTAACGGCTTCCCATTGAAGAGTGTGTAAATGGGAAATTTAACAATTTTTTTGTGGCAAAAGTAAGCATTTGAAGGTGAGGAACGTGATAAGGGGGTGCTGTAGAAGAGTTGTGTGCAAACAGTTTGTGCGAAATCGAAAAGTGCCCTTTGTAAAATTTTACCCCCATTTCTAATGTTGATGTTGACAGTTTGATGACTTCAGTGTGATTTTAGTGGGAAATGAAAATTTCCACTGCCCCGCCCACCCACCCTCTATTTTCTTAAAAGATAGATTAAAATCAGTCTTATCCTTAGATCATATAATAAATAGATACCACCATGTCGTGTTCTTTTCCTAGCAGAGCCTGTGACGACATCCTCCTGTCACACATCTCTCTCGTGCATGGAGGGATTACAATGAAGCTATCCTTGCCTGATCACTATTTGAATTTCGCGCGCCTAAATTTTAGGAAGTATGTCTGAACTAACTTCGTACGAAAGATGTTGACAGCTTGATTTTATAAATAATTCACAGTAGATAATGAAAGGAATAGTAAATTATTGGGCAGCAATTGTGATCCTTTATGATTACATCACTTAAAATAGGATCTTCGTTCTAAATTCTAAAATTGTTTTTTGTACAACAACTCGAAAGAGAGGTTAGAAGAAACATCTGTCAAAAGCGATTTGTTGCGCTGGTGCGGTACAAGGATGGAAGTGAAATAGACATATACAGATGAAATGCATATAACAAAGATGAAGATGTGGTGATCACACAAAGATAGCATTATACTACTCCTCTTGACGTAGAAAACGACAACAGTTAGCTTCATGTCTAGTCACAGCTTTCAGTTTGAATATTGGTATCTATTTATTATATGATCTAAGGTCTTATCTTAACAGGTACTAAGCCCGCCCACCCGCCCTTTATTTTCTTGGAGGGTCTATGATTTGCCAATATCAGTCTTATCTTATCAAGCACTAGCCCCGCCCACCCGCCCCTATTTTCTTGGAGGGTCGATGATTTGCCAATATCAGTCTTGTCTTAAGAAGTGACAATTTATTGTAGAGAAATAACGGTTTTGGAATTAAGCCCCACCCCCTGGCTCACGACGAATAAATAAAAATAATCGCAATTGACATGTTAAAAATGGTAAATATTAGTAGAGAAATCTTGTTTTTGTCAGCTCCTCCCCTCGATCTAACAACAAATGAAAAATTCATCACAAGTGAGATAGGGGCGGGTGGGTGGGGCTTAATCATCGCCTTATTTTCTTTTAATATATAGTTTGCTTTCAACAACACGATACTTAACAGATAATTCTAACCTTAAATTCACCATTTGATATTTTAAGATACTGTTGAAAGTAGATGACATGACATGACATGAGTATGTACCTCAGAACAGTCAAGTATGTACATTACGTAAAGAAAGTCAAAGCATAAGCCCCTGCCACACACCCACCCTACCTCAGTTGTGATTATTTTTTTTATTCGTTGTGTGGGCTGGGGGCGGAGTTTAATTAAAATATTTTTTTCTCTACTAGAAATTACCATGTGAAATATGTTCTAAGTATCGTGTTGTTGAAAGAAAACTATATGTCAAGAAAAAAAAAGTTAAAAAATAAGCCCTACCCGCCCACCCTAATTTTAAATGTGATGAATTTTTCATTCGTTGTCAGAGCGAGGGGCGGAGTGTAATTGTATAATCAATATTTCTGAACTAAAATTTACCATTTTCAATATGTTTTTAAATATCATGTGAAAAGAAGATCTATAGAAAAAATAGCAGAATTTAAACCCCGCCCCTCCTGGCTCACAACTAATAAGAAACAATCGTCACAATGGAGATAGAGCGGGTGGATGGGGCTAATGTTTTGCTTTTTTTTTTTCATAATATGTGTAGACTTACTTTCGCAACAAGAACCTTAAAACATGTCTATAATGGTAAATTTTATCCCCCACACTTCTCTAAAAATTTACCTTTTTTAAGCATATTTTTTGCTTCTTGTCATGAAAAGAAAACTACGGACATATATTAAGAAAAAAAAAGCAAAATGCAAACCCCGCCCATCCTCCCTCATCTCAATTGTGACTTTTTTTATTCGCTGTGTGCCCAGGGGCGGAGCTTAATTGCAAAATGCTTATTTCTCTACAAGAATCTAGCATGTGAAACATATTTTTAAGTATCATGTTGTTTACAGAAAACTATATGTCTAGAGGAAAAAAAAATAAGTGAAAAATAACCCCACCCATCCGCTCAACCTCAAATGTGGTGAATTTTTCATTCGTTGTCAGAGCGAGGGGCGGAGCTTAATTGTATAAATCTATATTTCCCGATAAAGATTTACCATTTTCAACATGTTTTTAAACATCTTGTGAAAAGAAGATTATGTATCTATAGAAATATGGACTAAATTTAAGCTCCGCCCCTCCTGGCTTACGACGAATAAGGAACAATCGTCACAATTGAGTTAGGGCGGGTGAGTGGGGCTCATATTTTGCTTTTTTTTCTTAATACACATAGTCTTTTCTTCGCAACAAGAAACTGAAAACATGTTTAAAATGGTAAATTTTATCCTCCACACTTCTCTAAAAATTTATGTTTTAAGTGTATTTTTTGTTTCTCGTTATGAAAAGAAAACTACGTACATATATTTAGAAAAAAAGCAAAATACAAATCCCGCCCACCCTCCCTCATCTCAATTGTGACTTTTTTTATTCGCTGTGTGCCGAGGGGCGGAGCTTAATTGCAAAATGCTTATTTCTCTACAAGAATCTAGCATGTGAAACATATTTTTAAGTATCATGTTGTTTAAAGAAAACTATATATGTCAAGAGAAAAAAAATTGAAAAAATAAGCCCCGCCCGCCCTAATTTTATATGTGATGAATTTTTCATTCGTTGTCAGAGCGAGGGGAGGAGCTTAATTGTATAATCAATATTTCCCGACAAAAATGTACAATTTTCAATGTTTTTAAATATCTTGTGAAAAGAAGATTATGTATCTACAGAAAAAATGGCAGAATTTAAGCTCCGCCCCTCCTGGCTTACGACGAATAAGGAACAATCGTCACAATTGGGATAGGGCGGGTGGGTGGGGTTTATGTTTTGCTTTTTCTTTTTCTTAAAATACACATATTCTTCTCTTCACAACAAGAAACTGAAAACATGTTTAAAATGGTAAATTTTATCCCAGATATTTCTCTAAAAATTTACCATTTTTAAGCATATTTTTTGTTTCTTGTCATGAAAAGAAAACTCCGTACATGTATTAAGAAAAAATAATCAAAATACAAACCCCGCCCACCCGCCGTCATCTCAATTGTGGCTTTTTTTATTGGCCGAAAGCCGAGGGAGGGAGCTTTAATTACAAAATGTTTATTTCTCCACAATAATCTACTATGTGAAACATGTTTTTAAGTTTCATGTTATTGTTTAAAGTAAATTATATATGTCAAGAGAAAAAGAAAGGGCAAAAATAAGCTCCACCCGCCCGCCCCAACCTCAAATGTGATGAATTTTTCATTCGTTGTCAGACCGAGAGGCGGAGCTTAATTGTATAATCAATATTTTCCGACTAAAATTTACCATTTTCAATATGTTTTTAAATATTTTGTGAAAAGAAGATTATGTATGTACAGAAAGAGGGGCTAAATTTAAGTCGCGCCCCTCCTGGCTCACGACGAATTAGGAACAATCGCCACAATCGAGATAGGGTGGGTGGGTGGTACTTATATTTTGCTTTTTTTTTCTTAATACACGTAGTTTTTTCTTCACAACAAGAAACTGAAAACATGTTTAAAATGGTAAATTTTATCCCCCACACTTCTGTAAAACCTTAGCAGTTTTAAGCATATTTTTTGTTTCTTCTCATGGAAAGAAAACCACGTACATACGTTAAGAAACAAAAAAGCAAATTACAAACCCCGCCCACCCGCCCTCATCTCAATTGTGGCTTTTTTCATCCGCCGTGAGTCGAGGGGCGGAACTTAATGACAAAACGCTTATTTCTCCACAAGAATCTACCATGTGAAACATGTTTTTAAGTATCATGTTGTTTAAAGAAAACTATATATGTCAAGAACAAAATAAGTAAGCCCCACCCGCCCACCCTACCTCAAATGTGATAAATTTTTCATTCGTTGTCAGAGCGAGGGGCGGAGCTTAATTGTATAATCAATATTTTCCGACTAAAATTTACCATTTTCAACATGTTTTTAAACATCTTGTGAAAAAAAGATCATGTATCTACAGAAAAAGGGACTAAATTTAAGCTCCGCCCCTCCTGGCTTACGACGAATAAGGAAAAATCGGCACAATTGAGATCGGGCGGGTGGGTGGGGCTTAAGTTTTACTTCTTTTTTTTCTTAATACACGTAATCTTCTCTTCACAACAAGAAATTAAAAACATGTTTATTAAAATGGTAAATTTTATCCCCCTCAGTTCTGTAAAGATTTATCATTTTTAAGTATATTTTTTGTTTCTTGGCATGAAAAGAAAACTACGTAAATATATAATGAAAAAATAAAAACCCCGCCCACGTGCCCTCATCTCAATTGCGACTTTTTATTCGCCGTGAGCCGAGGGGCGGAGCTTAATTGCAAAATGCTGATTTCTCCACAAGAATCTACCATGTGAAACATGTTTCTAAGTATCATGTTGTTTAAAGCAACCTATATATGTCAAAAAAAAAAAAGCCCCACCCGCCCACCCCAACCGCAAATGTGATGAATTTTTCATTCGTTGTCAGAGCGAGGGGCGGAGCTTAATGGCAAAATCCTTATTTCTTTACAAGAAATTACTATGTGGAACATGTTTTAAGTATTGTGTTATTGAAAGAAAACTGTGTATATTAAGTTCAAGAGGCCTATGATTAAACCCCGCCCACCCTCTCTAATCTGATTTGTGATGAATTTTTCATTCGTTGTCAGACCGAGAGGCGGAGCCTAATTGCAAAATCGATATTTCTTTACAAAAATTGACCACTGTGAACATGTTTTAAGTATCTTGTTGGCAAAAGAAGACTACGTATACAAGAGGCTAAATATACGTCCCGCCCAATCGCCCTAATTTTAGTTGTGATGTAATCGCCATCATATGGGTTTGGAGCAGTGGCGGCTCGTGACGATTCTATTTGGGGGGCTCATAATTTCTAACAAAATTGAAAAAAAAAAAACTCACCCATATTGTGTCGATATTAATACAAAAAGAATGATGATTTTTGATGTAATCATAAAATGCAAAAATTGTCCATACACAACACACACAAAAGAAAAAGATTTCAAACACAAAAAAATAAAACTAAGGAATAATGTCCAAAAATATAAGAACTACTGTTTATATACAAAATTAAGTCTTCTATCTTTCTGCGAAACAAAATGTTCTATAACTTTTTCATCAAAAGCACTTATATTATGAATGAAATTTGTATTTATTGACAGCATTGCAAGTGCATTAAGACGTTCTTCATTCATTGTGTTACGTAGGAATGTTTTTATCCGTTTAAGCGTGGAAAAACAGCGTTCTGATTCAGCGGTAGACATTGGAGTTGTAACAATAATTTTTAATAATTTTACAGTTTCGCTAAAAGTTTCCTTTAGGTCATTTTGGGATAACCACGAAATCAGGTTTAAAGCACCCACGATATTTTTAAAATCTCTCCTTGAATAAATAACTTCCAATTCAGTTTTTAGTTTATCTTGTTGAAGTATCGGATAAAATTGAACAACTGTGTCAAGCGTAGATTTAGGAAAATTTTGGGAATATTCAAGATAATTATTGACATTTAATAAAGATGCGGCTTCTAAATGACCTCTGTATGATAATCTTTCTTTAATTTGAAAAATAATTGTATCACATACTTCTTTTGCAATGACGGAGTTTTTGTTTTCAGGATTAATTTTTCTCCGTTTATTTTCATTAATGGCCACTTCCTGCTCAATTTCCTCTTCTATCTTATGAGTCGAATTTCTGATAGATAATATATTTTTTTCAAATTCCTCCAGGTTTTTTATAATTTGAACACTGTCTTTATTTCTAGCTTGAAACTGATTAAATAAAATATCTACATGTGGAAAAATTTTGTGAAATAAATTAAGCCAAAATATAAAATTTGGATCTTCAAGAGTTCTTCGTAACCCATATGCCTCTTTACAAGTAACTGTTTTCTGACACTTCTCCTCGATTTCTTCGAAACATTCAATTAACTTTTCCCGATTTTCATGAACAACATTTACTGTGCGTATGTTATAATTCCAACGTGTAGCAGCAACCCTTGGCAACTTCCTGTTCACGATTTCTTCTAACACATCTGCTCTATGAGTAGAACTTGAAAAAAAATTGGGAATTGCTGATAGATTTGAGAAAAAAATTTTTACTTTGGCATTCTGACTTGTGGCCTTTTGCATGATTAAATTTAACTGATGGGCATAACAGTGCACAAAATAAGCATATTTATATTTCTGTTTTATTTTTGTTTGTACACCACCTCTAGTACCACTCATAACATTGGCACCATCGTAACTTTGTGCAATCAGTTTAGAGTGCGAGTTTGCGATTAGTGCATCCAATTCATTTTCGATGTAGTGTGTTAAGCCATCAGCTGATCTATCAGTGACCCTTAAAAAAGTCCAAAACCTCTCGAAAATTTCTCCGTTCTATAGATACCTTAGTACAATAACCATTTGACACTGATTTGAAATATCCGTAGTTTCATCACATTGAATTGCTAAAAAGTCGCTTTTATTTATTTGTTCTTTAATTTCTTCACGGCATATTGCTAGCATACTGTCCAAAATTTCATTCTGTATTGTTTTTGATGTGCCTGTAAAAACGGTTGCCGTATTTAGATGTTCTCTCAAGATTGTATCCAGTTCTGACGAAAAATCAATTAATTCTCGAAATATTCCTCGATTTTCGGAATTTTCTTTTTCGTCATGCCCTCTTAATGCGAGTTCCAACTTTCCACAAAATTTTATAGAGTTCAAGATTCTCTTTAGTGACTGAATCTAACTGGGCTGCAATGTTCACCGAACCTAATAAAGCTAACTCTGTACAGCAAGTTATATGGCGTGTTGAAATTTCGTGTTTTCTCGCTCTTTGATTTAAATGTTTGAGATCTTTAAATCCTGTGACTGACCAAGTTTTATCAGTTAAATCAGTATGAAAGAGAACACATGGAAAACAGTACAAAGAGTTTGATGTCTTACATCCACAAATCCATTTAAATTTGTTGTAAATTTCTGCCGAAAAATGCCTGGTAAAAGAACGTGCTCCCACTTTATCTTGCTGAGTAAGATTTAATACTGGAGTTGGTCTTTCCGCTTGTTTTATTTTAATTTTTTCGGATAACGGAAGGCTTTTGAATTTAATGTTAATAATATAGTTTATACTGTTAATTTCGGACATATTTGAAGTCATGTTATTAAATACTTAAACACTAAACAACACAAAACGACAGTCATATCAAGAACATCAGCCGCCGAAACAAACAATCGACGATTAACTATTGCAGACTGCAGCTGATTGGAAACGTCGTGCGTCATACCCTCTGCAGTCACCCAAGTCTGTTGGGCTCGACAAAGCTGAGCCTCTTGCGTACATTTCCCATGCATTTGCTCGATTTAAGACATTGATCGGGTAGATTCGTTTTTCCCTATAACGTGACGATACGCTGCTGTGGCTCAAGTTTACAGAGCCGCTGTGTTGGGTACAAGTAGAAAACATCGGACGTCATAGTCGTGTATAGCTTGGATGCATATTATATGAATTAACGTGGCGTCTCGTACCCACGTTGGTGGTGCGTCTGGGACGTTTCAAATTTCTTGTTCAGATTTGCTACAGAAAAATGTATTTACGTTGATTATGAAATAAATTACTTTTTCCAATGGCGCTGATTGGGAGGCTCGAGCCCTTGAGCCCTTAAGCACGAGCCGCCCCTGGTTTGGAGAGACTTTAGTAGGGAATAACCGAAAACGACGCATTGTGCAAATTAAAAATGTCCACAATCTGTTAATCTTCACGCTCACAACCGGAAATTATTGAAAACATCGTGGTACCAATTTCAACTAAAAATCCAGGATTTTCAACAGATTCAGTTATTTCTGATCACGCGGTATATTGCAACGTTTCAGTGATTTAAGTTAGTTGTAGTCGTGGCAGCACTGTTTGCGCCGCCTCAGTTGTCAATTTGTGAACTTGTTACCGTGTGTATGGTTGGTTGCCTACGTAGAAAAGTAGAGGTTATGAAAATTTTATTTACGAATTTAAAAAGGCCGTACTACCGGAACTTTAATTTAAACGGCCACACTTTCTAGTAAGCGAAACCACAATTAGTTCTTCATTATCGTAACGCAATAATTATTAATTTAGGTAAACCCAAATGTCGATTTTCGAACACTCTGAAAAATCTGTTGGTTTGACACCACTACCAAGTTTTAACTGCGAAAACGCCGAACTTGAAACATACGACTGTGAAGACTGCAATTTCCAAACCGAATTAACCGTTTTTTACAAAAAACATATCAAAGAACGCCACACCCCCAAACGTGAAGACTCGCCAAGTGAAGAATTTACAATACATGAGTACAATTGCGAAGAATGCGACTTTGAAACCCATTGTTGCATTAACTGGCTTCGACATACATGTTTTAGAAATACGGAAAATCTCCAACTACGTTGTGCAGCTAAGTCTAATCACCAGGAAACTCCAGTCGCACACAATGTGGGTAACACCATCAAACACGTTAAGAAACGCATCACTGTTTACAAATACCAATGCAACCAATGCCCATACATCGCCAAACAAAGCTCCCACTTGAAACAACACATCAACGCCAACCACCTCCCCGAAAAAGAAATCAAATGGTACCAATGCCAAAAATGCCCATACAAAGCTAAACAAGACTCCCATTTAAAAAACCACATCAACGTGCACCATTCAGACGGAAACGACATCAAATGGTATCACTGTGACCAATGCACGTTCAAAACCAAAAGCAGTTCAAATTTAAGAAGACACACGATCGCGTGGCACCTAAATGAACAAGACATCACATGGCACCAATGCCAAAAATGTCCATATAAAGCAAAACGAAAAGAAAGCTTGACAAGTCACGTGGTTGCACAGCACTTGAGTGAAGCGGAAATCACGTGGTTTGAGTGCAATGAGTGTCCGTTTAAAGCTAAACGAAAAACTAGCTTGCAGAATCATGTAAAAGTGCGCCATTTAAGTGTCAGGGATGTGTGGCGGCACAATAACACGCGGGTAAAGCAGAGTAAAGATAAGTCGTCTCGTAGTGTAGCGGTTAGCATACCAGCCCGGATTGCTTGGAGACGTGGGTTCGAATCCCACCGAGGCACAACATTTTTCTCTGCTTTCCCACATTGGTGACCACCGACAGGCAACGCGCACGCAACATCCTTCTGCCACCGCCCTGTGCCCGCTGTGTTCGGGGTCCGCAGCACCGCCAGGGTTCGAACGACGAACGTAAGAGTGGCAGGAGCGACGCCAGCAACTATCTCCTTCGCACCCCAGCACGACCGCGCGCTGTGTCGCTGGGGGGGGAGTACTGTGGCGGCACAATAACACGCGGGTAAAGCAGAGTAAAGATAAGTCGTCTCGTAGTGTAGCGGTTAGCATACCAGCCCGGATTGCTTGGAGACGTGGGTTCGAATCCCACCGAGGCACAACATTTTTCTCTGCTTTCCCACAGATGTTAAATGGTATAAGTGTAAAATGTGTTCGTATGAAGCAAAGAGTGGGTGTGGTTTGAAGCGGCATTTCAATGCGCACCATGTGGATGAGAATGATATTAAATGGTACGAGTGCAAGACGTGTCCATATAGGAGTAAATATAATTGTAATTTGGTGTACCATTTAAAGGCGCACCATTTGGACGAGAAGGACATTAAATGGCACCATTGCAAAAAGTGTGGTTTCAAGGCTAAACACACCGGTCATTTGAAGCAACACGTGAGTGCTCAGCACTCAGATGGAGAGGATTAACTGGATTTTTGTTGTATTGTAATAAATTAAATTAAAATAAAGAAGCGGCTACTCGTGACGTTGTGCTCACGTGACATTATAACATAACCTCAAAAAAAAAATAAGTGAGGAGATAATCGTGGCTGTTAAACCTTAGTACGAGATTACTTCTTCTAATTTTCCAATAATTTGGCCCTCGTGCTCTTTTTAGCGCGAATTGTGGTGTTACAATGCATTAGTGATCGGTAATTGACAGCTGTCATAAGTTTTGAGGTTATATTATGGAAGCATTATTTTAATTAAAGTGAGTAATTAAATCAATATGTCGATTCTGGAATACTCAGAGAACTTTGTCCGACACCTGAAATCTCCACCCAAAAATGCCCATCATTGTAAACTGTGTCCATTTTTTACAACATCGACGTTCCTCATGGTAAATCACGTCAAACAACATTCTTCACCTTCGTTGTCACATTTCAACTGCCAGAGTGTCAATATTGAAACTTACTGGTGCAAAGACTGCAATTTCCAATCAGAACTAACATTTATTTTTAAACAGCACATTATACAACGTCACAACAAAAACGAAGATTCACCAATTAAGAATTTCGTTGTTCACCACCAAATTTGTGACGAATGTGACTTTGGCACACACTTCTCCATGAAGTGGCTTCAACACCGCTTATTTTGTTTTGGAAACAATAAACATTTAAAGAAACTTGACGACGTTAAATGGTTCCAGTGCCAGAATTGTAGTTACAAAGCAAAACTCCAAAAAAGTCTTAAAAACCACACAATCACGCACCATTTGGACGACCAAGACATCAAATGGCACCACTGCAAAGACTGTCCATACAAAGCCAAACTAAAATCGATTTTACGAAACCACACCACAAGACTACACTTAAAAAACCGCCGCGTCGTTTGGCACGAATGCCAAAGTTGCCCCTACAAAGTAAAAGACAGCTCGGCTTTACGAAGACACAAAATTTCGCACCATTTGGACCCTCAGGACATTAAATGGTTCGAATGCAAAAAGTGCCCCTATAAAAGTAAGTATAAATTTCGGCTAAGCGAGCACATCAACACCAACCATTTGGACGAGAAAGATATTAAATGGTTTCCGTGCAAAAAGTGCACATATAAAGGTAAAAATAAGTCGAATTTGAATCGACACGTGACAGCGCGACATCTGGATGACCGTGATGTTAAATGGTTCGAGTGTGACAAGTGTCCGTACAGAACTAAACAGAATTCGCATTTGAAGAACCATGTGACCGTCCACCATTTAAATGAGAAGGAGATTAAATGGTACGACTGCAAGAAGTGTTCTTATAAGGCTAAAGTCAAAGTGAATTTGAAGGAGCACGTGATTTCGCGACATTTGAGTGAGGAGGAGGTTAAGTGGTATCGGTGTAAAGAGTGTCCGTATAAGAGTAAAAGGAAGACGAGGTTGGGGAGTCACGTGAAGAGGCGACATTGAGTTTAGAAAGACTAAAATAAAAACGAAAATGAATGAAATAAATTTAAATGATTAGTTTGTGCTTGAACCGTAAGAGGGCGGCGTGTGCAAACGTTGTTTTATTTGTATTATTGACTGCAAGTTAATAAATTATGTGTAAAACTTGTTTAAATTTGAACAGACTTTAATTTTATATCAGGTTTGGGTAAACAAAAATCAATTGACCAGTAAAGTGAATGACGCGCGAAATTTGAACTCAGTTCATAACACGAGACCCGTATTTCAGTTCCCCGTGTAATCCTTATGGGTGAAATCGAGGCGTCACTTTAACGCTTAAATTGTACCATTAAAGTAATTTTCTTATATATCCCACTACCTGTACCATTAAGACTGATATTTTTACTGTTGATCTTGATACCAAACATGAACGGAACCGGTAGCATTTAATAAATATTTAAATTCAACTTTTACCACTACATTTGCCTCGAACGTATGTCGTACAGTGGTTCATACTGCCATTGACTTCCCCCTCCACATAAATGGCTTTGATTTTCAGATGCTACAGATACGGCTGTGAATTTAAAATAATACATAAAGGAGATCTCATATTTGCAAATGTTTTCAATCAATTGCCAAATTTTGATTTAAGAATCATCATCAATCCCAAGCTTTTTTCTTTTCACACATTTTTGCTAGAAAAGGAAAAACTTAGCATTCCTGATTAAACCTTTCATGTACAAGTAAAAATCACTCTCATTTTAGTACGAATTGGGTCTGAAACACCCCTTTAAAAAAAAAATCACAATTTAAAGAACAATTTATTTCAAAACAAAAAAAAAGTATTTTACAATAAAAAATTGCACTTCCTAATGCAAAATCTGATTCACTTTTGGTGAAAAACTGACCCACAAACTGTTTTCTTGATGGGCCATTAAAATAGTCCTCGGACACTAATAGTTCTTCGACACTGTGAAGTAGATTTTCTTCAGATCTTTCTAGTTCAGGGCCCAATAGCAAAAGCAGTGCTTCGCTCCTATCAGTTTGTCCTAAGCTTTCATGAAGTTGTACCTCAACATTAGCTGTTTTTAGGCTGACTTGGGGATTAAAAGAATTTTCAGAGACAACAGCTCGGACCTCAGCTGATTCACTTTTCTTCAGATGTACGTCTCAAGCACGCAAATTATTGGTCCACAATACATTATAACGTCCGTGTAGGGCAGGTGTAGCCATATGATGATATACAAATGCACCTCTTGGGGTTTCACATGTTGCCTCTCTTAAGGAATATCTGTGCATAATAAAACAAAATACGTCATAATTTTACTTGACACAGAATTTATCAATATACATTAACTTACCATAATCTTCTCGCATTCTAGCTCGAATAAACTCTTCAAGCACATTTAATTCAGTATACCAATTGACTTTCGCTACATTATTTGACTGTAAAGAATTTTCTCCAACAAAAAAAATGGCAATTGCCCCTATTGTTAACACATGTCTTTCTGTCATTATTAATAACAAATACAAAAAAACCAGTCCACAGATACATACAACCCAATGTGAATCAATATCACAGAACTAATATATCATCCAAAAATTGTGATTATGATTGTTTGTTGTGATGAAAATACGAAATCAACTGTCATATTTTGGGGATTTTCACGATCTAAACGTCACTAGTACCGCAAAATATTCGCGTTCTTTTTCTTTCCCAAGTGTTTCTGGATTTTCCGTTTCACTCATGCGCAAGACGTTAGAAACGATGTACGTTACTTCGATGGATAGCGTTGTTTTTAATTTGCAATATATCTTTAACAGAAGCTTTTTATATAGTTAAACCTTTAGTAACAGGAAGATAATTGTACAGTCTTTATCGCTTGTAGCATGAACTAGTTAAGATTTCTACCTATGCGGCGTATTTTGTCTGTAAAATCAAGCTCCCATAAGAAACCCATAGTAGAATTTTTGAATTATGAACTGCCGCGCATTCTAAATTCTAACCTTACTTTACTGGTCAATTTAGGAGCACTACGTGTATTGTTGGTTGCATATCTCTGCAGTTGGCAACACGTAATTTTGACATTTCTATTTGTCAGATCAATTTTTAATTAAACATTTATAATAAATTTGGTATACAATCGTAAAGAGAAACACTAATTCGGCTTCAGTGGTGCACCAAAGTGTTATTTGCAACGCTCTGAAGTAATCCATCGATTGACAACATTGAGGTTATGTCGCCCAATCAATTTTCAGGTGTGTACCATTTTCACCCATAAAAAACTATAATGTGTGTTTTTAGGTTGACAATGTGCCCATATTTTACCACATCAACGTCCCCCATGATAAACCACCAACAACCCCCTTCATCATTACGTTTCAACTGCGAAACTGCTTCTATTGAAACGTACCATTGCAAAGACTGCAATTTCCAAACCCAGCTAACCCTTCTTTTGAAACAACACATCGCAAACCATGAGAAATTCACCATCCGCAACTACGTTTGTGACAAGTGTGCTTTCGAGACGCATTTTTCCGTCAAGTGGCTCCAACACAGCATAGCGTGTTTTAAAAGCCACAACAGCGTTAAGTGGCACCAGTGTAAAGCTTGTCCGTATAAAGCTAAAGCCAAAGCAAACTTAAAAGAACACGTCATTTCAAAACACCTGCGTGATCAAGATATAAATTGGCATCACTGTGGAGAGTGTCCATACAAAGCTAAGTTAAAGCGAAACTTGCTAAGCCACATAAAGGGGCGCCATATGGATGATAATCGCATCGCGTGGCATCACTGCACTCGCTGTCCATACAAAGCTAAACACGGTTCAACTCTACGTTGGCACGTAGCTTCACACCATGTGGATGCGCCTGATATTAAATGGTTTCAGTGCCGGGAGTGTCCGTACAAAACTAGACACAGTTTTCTCTTGACGAGTCACACGAACGCGCGCCATTTGGATGCCAAAGACGTTAAATGGCACCACTGCGACCAGTGTGCTTTCAAGAGCAAGGACGGTTCGGGTTTGAGGAGACACACGACGGCGTACCATGTGGACGCGCAGCGCATTAAATGGTTCGAGTGTGAAATGTGTCCATACAAAGCTAAACAAAATTCGCACTTGAAAACGCACGTAGCGGGACACCATTTAGACGATTATGATATTAAATGGTACGAATGCGAGAAGTGTCCCTATAAAGCTAAATTAAAAACGAATTTAAAGCATCACGTGATTACGCGACACTTGGATGAGGAGAGTATTAAATGGTATGAGTGCAAAAAGTGTCCATATAGGGCTAAATTGAAGCGAAATTTACACAATCATGTGAATTCGCGACATACGGACCACAGACATGTGAAGTGGTATAAGTGCAAAAAGTGTAATTATAAAACTAAGTTTAAACAAAGTTTGGGGAATCATATAAATGCTCAGCATTTGGATGAAGGGGATGTTAAATGGTACCAGTGTAAAGAATGTACACATAAAACCAAAGATAGTTCGAATTTGAGGAAGCATATAATTGCGCGGCACTCCGACGAGGGGAAGATTAAATGGTACGCGTGCCAGATTTGTTCGCATAGAAGTAAGCAAAGCACCGACTTGAAGAAACACATGGTTGCGTGCCATTTGGACGAGAAGGATATTGAATGGTTTAAGTGCAAGAAGTGCCAGTATAAGGCGAAGCGCAAATTTCATTTAAAAAAACACGTGGAGACGTGGCACTCGAGTGGTCGGGATTAATACCAAGACAAATTTGTTTGTTTTTCCACAGTACGTCAGAATTAATTGTTCATAACCTCACTAATTTTGACACTAGTGGAGAAAAATAAACCATCTTTTCGTCTCTTGTTTTATTATTATTTCTCCATAACTAGTGTGATCAGTAATTAAGGTCGATTTATAAACTTGTCGCTGACGTTGCCGTTGACGTTGGGTTGTCAACTAATCAAATTGCGGTAGTGTGCAGTGCTGCCAACTTGAAGGAAAATTTTGCAATTAGGCTCCACCCCTCGACGAATAAAAAATTCATCACAATTGAACTTGGGATGGATGTGGGTGGAGCTTAATTGTTGGCTTGTGTAGTCATCTTTCACAACAAGAACCTTAAAACATGTTTAAAATGATAAATAATTACGCTCCGCCCCTCGGTCTGACAACGAATGAAAAATTCATCACGATTGAGGTCGAGACGGATGGGCGGAACTTCTCTCTTTTTTTTAATTAACACATTTAGTTTTCTTTGTGTAACACGATTACTTAAGAACCTATTTACACGGTAATTTCTCGTGGAAAAATAAGGATTTTACAATCAAGCTCCGCCCCTCGGCTTACGACAAATAAAAAAAAACATCAGAATTGAGATAGGGTGGGTGGGTGGGGCTTATATTTTGTCTTTTTTTTTAATATACGTAGAAGTCTTTTCAGAACAAGAAACTGAAAACATGTTTAAAATGGTAAATTCTTGTAGGCAAATATTGCAATTAAGCCCCGCCCCTCGATCTGACAACGAATGAAAACTTCATCACAATTGAGAATTGAGATCGGGGCAGGAATGGGTGGGGTCTAATCTTTGGCTTTATTTTTTTTTTAAATATGTACATAGTGTTCTTTGACCAGCACGATGCTCAAAAACATGTTTTTAATTTCTTGTAGAGAAATAAGTATTTTGCAGTTAAGCTCCGCCTTCTTGACTCACGACGAATACAAAAATCATCACAATTGAGATAGGGTGGGTGGGTGGGGTTTATATTTTTGCTTTTTTTCTTATTATACATAGCCATCCTTTCACAACAAGAAACTTAAAACATGGTTAGAATGGTACATATTTGCATGGAAATATGGATGTTGCAATTATGGGGCGGAACCTAATTACAAAACGGATATTTTCTTATACAAATTTTCCATTTTAAACATGTTTTAAGTTTCATGTTGTAAAGAGAAGTCTACACATATTAAAACAAAAAGGCAAAATATAAGCCCGCCCACCCGCCCTATTTCAATTGTGATGATTTTTTTTATTCGCCGTGAACCAAGGGGGTGGAACTTGACTGCAAAATACTTATTTCTTTACAAGAAACTAAAAATATGGTTTTGAGTATCGTGTTGTTCAAACAATACTATGTATATTAAGAATAAAAGGTAAAATATAAACCCCACCCACCCACCCCATCTCGATTGTGATTATTTTTTTAATTCTTAGAAACTTAAAACACGTTGCAGATGGTAAATCATCACAATTGAGACAGGGTGGGTGGGCGGGGCTTATATTTTGTCTTTTGTCTTATTATACGTAGAAGTCTTTTCAGAACAAGAAAATTAAAACATGTTCAAAATGTTAATTCTTGTAGACAAATATGGATCTTGCAATTAAGCCCCGCCGCTCGATCTGCCAACCAATTAAAAAAATTATCACATTTGAGAATTGAGATCGGGGCAGGTATGGGTGGGGTCTAAACTTTGGCTTTACTTTTTTTAAATATACATAGTATTCTTTGAACAACACGATACTTAAAAAACATGTTTCGAATTTCTCGTTGAGAAATAAGGTTCTTGCAGTTAAGCTCCGCCTTCTTGGCTTACGACGAATAAAAAAAATCATCAGAATTGAGATAGGGCGGGTGGGCGGGGCTTATAATTTTGCTTCTTTTCTTATTACACATGGCCATCTTTTCACAACAAGAAACTTAAAACATGATAAAAATGGTACATTTTTGAAAGGAAATATGGATTTTACAATTATGGAGCGGAGCCTAATGCAAAATCGGGATTTCCTTACACAAATTTTTCATTTTAAACATGTTTTAAGTCTCATGTTCTGAAAAGAATTCCACACATATTAAAACAAAAAGGCAAAATATAAGCCCGCCCACCCGCCCTATCTCTAGTGTGATGATTTTTTTAATTAGAAGAAGGCGGAGCTTAGCTGCAAAATACTTACTTCTTTACAAGAAACTAAAAATATGGTTTAAGTATTGTGTTATTTAAATAATACTAAGTATACTAAGAAAAAAAGGCAAAATATAGACCCCGCCCACCCACCCCATCTCCATTTTGATTATTTTTTTATTCTTAGAAACTGTAAACACGTTGCAGATGGTAAATCATCACAATTGAGATAGGGTGGGTGGGGGGGGCTTATTATTTGTCTTTTGTCTTATTATACGTAAGAAGTCTTTTCAGAACAAGAAACTGAAAACATGTTTCAAAAGGTAAATTCGATCTGACAATGAATGAAAAATTTATAACAATCGAGAATTGAGATCGGGGTGGGTGTGGGTGTGGCCTAATCTTTGGCTTTAATTTTTTATTAATATATATGTACATAGTAATTTTTTTCACTAGCAGCCAGGACCCATGCAAATGTCGACTCATTTAGTGGTAGCAAATTCAACTTTTGCTACCACGGGTTCAAAAAGAAAAATTGAGGTTATGTACGCAATGTTTGATGTGATTATTTCTTAAAAAATGAACAAATGTGTGCTACAAACATTACTTGAGTATACGCATGGTAGTTGGTAGACGGTAGAAGATAAAATGATTAACTCAGCGACAAGTATAAACGGTTTTCTTCGTGTTGAAGATTTGGATCAAGTTTGACTAGAAATCAGAACAAAATTATGTTGCGTCAAAAAATTGAACGTTTATTTTTTCAATTTATTGTCTTATGGTTCCTACTAGTGAAAAAAATAGTATATTAACCACGATTGCAAAGCCACTTCTAGACCTCGCACTTCAGAGCCCTCGACGCTGCGCGTCTCGGGTTCTAATTTGCGCTCGGTCTAGAATGCTTGGCCTTGCAACCTTGGCTAATAATATACTATTTGAACAAGACGATACTCAAAAACATGTTTTTAATTTCTCGTAGAGAAATAACGATTTTGCAGTTAAGCTCCGCCTTCTTGGCTCACGACGAATAAAAAAAATCATCAAAATTGAGACAGGGCGGGTCCCCCCCGACTTATATTTTTGCTTTTTTTCTTATTATACATAGCTATCTTTTCACAACAAGAAACTTAAAACATGATTAAAATGGTACATTTTTGAAAGGAAATATGGATTTTGCAATTATGGGGTGGAGCCTAATTGCAGAAGCGATATTTCCTCACACAAATTTTTCATTTTAAACATGTTTTAAGTTTCATGTTCTGAAAAGAATTCCACACATATTAAAACAAAAAGCCAAAATATAAGCCCGCCCACCCGCCCTATCTCTAGTGTGATGATTTTTTTAATTAGTCGTGAGTCAAGAAGGCGGAGCTTAGCTGCAAAATACTTACGTCTTTACAAGAAACTAAAAATATGGTTTTAAGTATTGTGTTAATTAAACAATACTAAGCATATTAAGAAAAAAAAGGCAAAATATAGACCCCGCCCACCCACCCCATCTCCATTTTGATTATTTTTTTTATTGTTAGAAACTGAAAACACGTTGCAGATGGTAAATCATCAGAATTGAGATAGGGTGGGTGGGCGGGGCTTATATTTTGTCTTTTGTCTTATTATACGTAAGAAGTCTTTTCAGAACAAGAAACTGAAAACATGTTTCAAAAGGTAAATTCGATCTGACAATGAATGAAAAATTTATAACAATCGTGAATTGAGATCGGGGTGGGTGTGGATGTGGCCTAATCTTTGGCTTTAATTTTTTATTAATATATATTAGTTTATTAGTTTATTATTATTATTACCCAGCAGACTAAAGTCCAATTATAGGGTACCATAGTGAAAAGATACAGTATCTGTACGTACACAAATGACTACCTACTTACTAATTAAATTAAAAATAAAATACAAATAACTGAATTAAAAAGTATATATCTACATAGTATTTTTTGAACAAGACGATACTCAAAAACATGTTTTTAATTTCTCGTAGAGAAATAACGATTTTGCAGTTAAGCTCCTCCGCCTTCTTGGCTCACGACGAATAAAAAAATCATCAGAATTGAGTTAGGGCGGGTGGGCGGGGCTTATAATTTTGCTTTTTTTCTTATTACACATAGCCATCTTTTCACAACAAGAAACTTGAAACATGATTAAAATGGTACATTTTTCAAAGGAAATATGGATTTTGCAATAATAGAGCGAAACCTAATTGCAAAATCGATATTTTCTTACACAAATTTTTCATTTTAAACATGTTTTAAGTTTCAGGTTGTGAAAAGAAGTCTACACATATTAAAACAAAAAGGCAAAATATAAGCCCGCCCACCCGCCCTGTCTCAATTGTGATGATTTTTTTTATTCGCCGTGAACCAAGAGGGCGAAGCTTAACTGCAAAATACTTATTCCTTTACAAGAAATTAAAAACATGGTTTTGAGTATCGTGTTGTTCAAACAATACTATGTATATTTAAGAAAAAAGGCAAAATATAAACCCCGCCCACCCACCCCGTCTCCATTGTGATTATTTTTTTTATTCTTAGAAACTGAAAACACGTTGCAGATGGTAAATCATCACAATTGAGATAAGGTGGGTGGGCGGGGCTTATATTTTGTCTTTTGTCTTATTATACATAGAAGTTTTTTCAGAACGAGAAAATTAAAACATGTTTCAAAAGGTAAATTCTTCTCGATCTGACAACGAAGGAAAAATTTATGACAATTGAGAATTGATATTGGGGCTAGTACGGGTGGCACCTAATCTTTGGCTTTATTTATTTATTTTTTTAATATACACAGTATTCTTTGAACAACACGATACTCAAAAACATGTTTATAATTTCTCGTAGAGAAATAATGATTTTGCAGTTAAGGTGCGCCTTCTTGACTCACGACTAATAAAAAAAATCATCAGATTTGCGATAGGGTGGGTGGGCGGGGCTACATTTTGCCTTTTTTTTCTTAAAACATGTGTTGTTTGAATAGTTGATGGTGACATTTAATATTTAATCATACTCTGACTTGATTAATATGAAAACATTTATTTTGAAGAATGTGGTAAATCAATAATTTATTTAGGAAACAAATACTGTCCGTAATACTGTTGTGGCCAAAAGTTTGTAGCTACAGTTTGTAAATTATTTCTGTTGAGGTAATTGTGCTAATTAAGTCTCTCTAAAGCCTCGTCTACATTAAAATATCCAGCTCCGTCTCCGTCTTGCGTTTTTTTGCACAGGCAGAAGTATGTAACCGGGCTTAGAAGCTTCTTATCGACACGAGTATCACTCTTCGTGAAGAAGCTGATAATTACACCGTAAATTACAGTCATGGCGGCACCAAGGAACGTATAGTTGAAGAACGAAATCTTGAAAATGGTAGGTGGTTGGAACGAAATCTGGCTTCTGAAAAATAAACTTCGTTATATAAAAATTGCACCTATGTGGTTTCTTACGTCGTATTATTTGATAGTAAAGTTTGGTTGTAGAAAATGCACCCACTGGTAGATAAGGGTTTCGTGGCGTATGTTAATAACCCTTGCATCTGAAAATACTTGGCGGGAATCGACAGACACGCGATTGAAATAAAACCTCCAATCATTCCATAGAGGGCGCCCTTGAAAATATGATTTTAGTACGTGTATACACTGACGACGACATACTTTGCGGTTAGCTTTGGGGAAAAGCACTCCTAATGTGAAAGCTCCGAATATCGGTCCTTGCGTGATCCCCCAAACCGTCAAACTGATTGAAAAGATTTGCCCCATTCGTTCCACCAGAAACACCAAACACGTGCACAAAAACCCAACAATCAGAACTGTCAGTTTCAAAATATCGCTGCCAGTTTTTTCGGAAGGTGTGTTTTTTAAAAAGGGACAAACCACGTCTTTGTATATGACACCAGAGAGAGCGTTTAGGTTAGATGACATAGTACTGGAAAAAAATTGGTGTGTGGGTACGACATGAGTATTGAATAATTTACCTGAGAGCTGCGCTACAAACCGCCGCTATGAAAAGACCAGAGACCCCTGGAACGCTACTTCCGATTTCTGTTACAAAATACGGAAAGACTTGGTCATGTTTTGACACTATGTGGCTAGTCAAAGGGTCGCAGTCTTTGTATTTGTAATAAACTACCAAACCGATGAGAATGCAGAAGGTGTGGAATACGCACATACTGATTGTGGTGTGTATGACAGACCACACACAATCTTTGTATTTTGACAGACTTAAAAATTTTTGGATGCCAGTTGGGTGCACGATTATGACTGCGGTAGATGTTGTCCCGCAAGCTATAAAGTATCCCCAAAAGCCATCTCTAGCTGTGAAGTCAAGATTAAAGCTACAATATCAGTTTGACTATCTACTATCAAAAATAAGACAATCAGGTACTTAAATACTTCTAGTCGTCCACCAGCTGATGCTGTGTTCCACACAGACACGAACCCGTCGGATCCATTAACACCAATTGCGAATATAGTGACAAGAGTTACCATTATTACCCCAAATTGAACAAAGTCGGTCCAAACTACAGTCTTCAAACCACCTATTGAAGTGTAAAAGAGGCAAATCGAACACAAGATGAAGGCACACAAAGTCGAATTAATCCCACTAGCTAAAACTATGACGTCATTTTTACATAACTCTATCGGAGTTACATCACCAGTGGCGAAAGTCAAAGCTGGAGGGTATGCTAAAATCGGAAACATTAGAATATCGGACAGAACGTAAAGTACAAAAGCCAGAATTCTTGTTCTTCGGTCGAATCTTCTTTCCAAGTACTCGTAGATGTTGGTTATTTGTAGTTTAAAAAAAACTGGGAGGTAGACGAAAATGGCCAGAAAAGCCATAAATATAAACGAAGTAACGAATAACCAAACGCTCGCTCCATATCTATACACATCTGCTACAGTTCCTATAAATAGGGTCCCTGAAATGTGACTAAATTTAAAGGTTAGACTGACGAAATTTCGGGACTTGCCTGATCGCAACTGATATAGCTATGGGAATAATTTTCATGCTTTTGCCACCCAGAAGGTACTCTTTGGTGGTTGCTTGCTTAGTACCGAAGCACCCATAATAAATTCCAATCAGAGTACTACACAAAAGCATACAAATAAATATCGCATAGTCAAAAGCGCTTAAAGTGAGAGCTGAAAATATATGGGAAGTCATGCTTGGGAGCTTGGTAACGATAAAACAAAAGGATAGGTTTTTTTTTATATAATAATTACTTTATATTTTATGCAAAACCTTGAATGTAGCGAAGATAAGATAGTAAATGATTCACAGCGTTGTCAATTTAGACCGCAACCCATATATTTTATACGCACGACTTTAATTTTTTTTAAGACACGCCCTTATTTTAATGGGTGAGAAGTTCCATCGCCGCTTCAGTGTTCCGGTTTCCATCTTGAGTGTGTCGAGGTGTAGTGGATAGGCACGATATGACTGGACTTAGAAGGTCCTTATCAACTGGAGAACCCGTCGTGAATACACTAATAATCAAACCAACAACTATAGTCACGATGACTCCGATTATCACGTAGTAGTAGAACATTGTCTTGAAAATCACATTGGGTTGCAGTGGAGTGTCCTGGTTTCTGAAAAAATATCTACATTTATAATAATTACGAACTAAATTCTTACAATGTAGTGTTTGAAGCACTCAAAGTTTCGTTAAATAGGGTACAACCGGTCGTCGAGAGAGGTTTCGTGGGGTACTTGATCAAACCCATCATTTGGTAGTACCTTGCAGGAATTGCGATACAAGCAACGGAAATAAAACCGCCAAGTGCACCATAGAAGGCACCCTTGTGGTTGGCTTTTGGGAAAAGAATTCCCAACGAGAAAACCCCAAACAAAGGTCCTTGAGTAATCCCATTAACCGATAAAATGATATTGAATACTTCTCCCATTCGTTCCACTAGAAAGACCAAGCAGGTACACAAGAGACCAACAACCAGGACTATGATTTTTAAAATGTCGCTGCCCCGTTTTTCTGATGGTTGCTCCTTTAAAAACCGACATACCAAGTCTTTGTAAATAACACCAGAGAGGGCGTTCAGGTTTGAAGACATAGAACTAGATTTGATAAGTTTTTGATCTGATATAGAGAAGATATACCTGAGAGCTGCACTGCAAATAGCTGCTACGAAAAGACCAGTAACTCCTGGAAAACGTCTACCAACATCTGTTACAAAGTAAGGAAATAGTTGGTCGTGTTTTGTTACCATATGACTGGTTAAAGGATCACAGTCTTTGTACTGGGAGTAAACTGCCAAACCGATGAAAACGCAGAAGATGTGTACTATACTCATACTGATTACAGTGTGGATAACAGACCAAACGCAATCTCTGTATTTTGGTAAACTTAAAAACTTCTGAAGTCCTGTTTGGTGTACAATGATGGTCGCTACAGCTGTTGGACCACCAGCTACGTAACCCCAGAAGCTATCTCTTGCTGTAAAATCAACGTTAAAGCTGCAATATGACTATTATAGTATGACCCAGAGTAATGGTAGCAGTTACTTGAAGACTTGTAGTCGTTGACCTTGCAGTGCTGTGTTCCAAACAGACAAAAATCCCCCAGATACCCCAACACCTACCGCGTATACTGTAACAAGAGATGCCATTATGATCGCAAATTGAAGAAAATCTGTCCAAACTACAGTCCTTAAACCTCCTATTGAAGTATAAAAGACACAGATAACACAGAGGAAGAAAGCAGACCAAGTAGGGTTAATTCCACTAGCTGAAAGTTTTACGTCATATTTATTACATTTTTATTTATATTCACCTGTGGCAAAAGTCAAAGATGGCGCGTACGCCATGATAGGAAACATAACAATCTCCGAGAGGAGGTAAATCGCAAAAGCCAGCATTCTCGTTCTTTTATCAAACCTCTTTTCCAAGTAGTCGTAGATGTTGGTCACTTGAACTTTGAAAAATACTGGTAGGTAAATGAAAATTGACAGAAGACCCATAATGATATACGAAACGATGAATAAGGATATGCTAGCTCCGTATCTATACACTTCTGATACTGTTATGATCAGCAGAGACCCAGAAATGTGACTAAAATTGTATGTATTTATTGGTGTGTTGGCAAGTTTCAGAGTACCTTATTGCTGCTGATATCGCTATGGGAATAATTTTCATGTTCTTGCCTCCCATAAGGTACTCTTTGGTTGTAGCTTGTTTCGTTCCAAAGCAACCATAGTAGATTCCAATAAGAGTGCTGAACACTAGAGTGCTTATAAATATAATGTAGTCGTAGATAGAGAATGTGGACGATGTCATCAGCGTCATGGTAGTACAACTAGAACTATGGCAATAACTACCATACGATAAGCACAAACTACAAAGTGTTTTTGTCTAGAATAAATAACCTTATGTCTGCCCGGTAATGGTCTGGAACCTTGAACTAAAAATATGGTAACTGTTAAAAATGATTTAATTGTTAAGCCCTAAATGCGCACTTACTGTAAACACAATGAAAATGGGCCATTAGAGCTGCGTCAAGTTTAAATTTTTCCAATCATAACGGCGTAAAAAGCCTCCTGCCAAAATGTATAACTAAACATACAACAAACAAAGATATACATATGTTCCGTTTGCCAAAATTACTCTTATCTTGCCCCGCCCACCCACCCTCTCTTTTCTTAGAAGGTATGTCATTTGCCAAATTCAGCCTTATCCTAGCAGGTACTAGGCCCACTCTCTCTTCTCTTAGGGGTTTCTCATTTACCAAAATCAGTAGCCCCGCCCACCCACCCTTTCTTTTCTTAGAGGGTATCTCATTAGCCAAAATTAGTCTTATCTTAGCAGGTAGTAGCCCCCCTCACCCACCCTCTCTATTCTTAGAAGGTATTTCATTTGCCAAAATCGGTCTTATTTTAGCAGCTACTAAGAGAAGAGAGGGCGGGTGGGCGGGACTAGTGCATTCTAAGATAAAACTGATTTTGGCAAATGACATACCCTCAAAGAAAACGAGGGTGGGTGGGCAGGTCTACTACCTGCTAAGATAAGACCGACTTTGGCAAATGAGATATCCTGTAAGAATAGAGAGGGTGGGTGGGTGGGGCTAGTACTTGTTAAGATAAGACTGATTTTCGCACTTTTGACATTTTCGATTATTTTTCAACCATTTCCGAAACTAGCGAGAAAAGTGACAAACATTTTTCGTAATTTCTAAAATTTTTTGGCTGAAACAGTTAAAAAACGATCTGACCCAACGGAAAATAGTTGGCTTATAGATAATTTTTCGCAGATTACGAATCTAATATATTTTTGACGATTTGTCTTCAAATAACTGGGAAATGCGAGGAAAGGACTCCAAAAATCCCCAAAATTTCCAAAAAATTGAAACCGTTCCAAATGGCTTTATTTGAGAGGAAAACATTGAGTTTCTAGTTTTATAGAGTATTAATCGCAGATTTACCTTATGAAATACTAGCCCCGCCCACCCAGCCTCTATTTTCTTAAAGAGTATCTCATTTGCCAAAATCAGTCTTATAGTCAAGTACTAGCCCCGCCCACCCGCCCTTTATTTTCTTGGAAGTTATGTGATTTGCCAAAATCAGCCTTATCCTAGCAAGATAAGCAACTAGACCCACCCGCCCACCCTCTCTTCCCTTAAGGGCTATCTCATTTACCAAAATCAGTCCAATCTTATCAAGTAGTAGCCCCGCCCACCCACCCTCTCTTTTCTTATAGGGTATCTCATTTGCCAAATTGGGTCTTATTTTAGCAGCTACTAAGAGAAGAGAGGGCGGGTGGGCGCGGCTAGTACATTCTAAGAAAAACTGATTTTGGTAAATGACATACCCTCAAAGAAAACGAGGGTGGGTGGGCGGGGCTAGTAGCTGCCAAAATCAGTCCTGATAACTAACTTTTACAAAAAAGGATCAAAATTTGGAAACATTACGACCTTGCAATTTTGAACATCTTCAGTAGTGTTTAGGTGGTTCTGCTTTAATGGATTTTTCTTTTATTGGTTTTGTTTTTGTTTATATAATTTATAAGTGTCTTATTAAATGTTTATTTTTGGTTTATTTATTAATGAAAAATAACAGCTCGTTTTATATAATAATGCACAACGATTAATGACTACTGGTTGTTTTGTTTATTGTCCTAAAAAAATGAAAGGTGCGTGCAGTGTTGCCAATTTTACTGTTATAAAATTACTTCGGAATTTTTTAAGTGTAGACTTGGCAATACAATTCAATTTTGATCTCAGAGTAAATAAAATAAGCCAATGAAATGCAAAAGCGGGTGTGGGTGGGATTAGTTTTAGATTTCACTGTTTATCGATATAAAATCCACTTTTTGTCCAATAAAATGAGTGATCAGAAAAAAACCGAGTGGGTGGGCGGGGCACTTTTTTTCGAACTTTCTACAAAAAATACCAGGGATTTCTTCAATTTTTTTTCAAAATTAAAAAGCGTAAGAGGTGGCAAGGTGCTTTTACATTCTTAAAACCATACACTAAGGTTCTTAAACTCTTTTAAAAACAAAACACCAGCAGCTCCAAGATCTTTTAATAATTATTAAAAACACAAGAGGCTTTAAAAAAAACAGGGTGTCTTGAGGCTCTTTTAAACTCTTTTAAAGACAAAGCACTAGTAGCCCCCAAGATCTTTCCACATTTTCTAAAAAATAAAACACAAAGGACCACCGAAGTTCTTTCAAACTTTCTAAAAATACCAGGGACTACCCGGAATTTTTTTCCAAAAATGAAGAAATCGAAGAATTGAAAAATTGGATAATCGAAAAATCGGATAACTGACAATTGGAGAACTAAAAAAATTCCGAAGACCGATATAGCGAAAAATTGGCAAATCGAAAAAGGCGCTTCTTTAACTTACGGAAAAAATTTCTGAAATTTCAACAGCAGTTCTTCTAATAGACCACATTGAATGGTAAATGCTCATCTCAGCACTCAAAAGGATTAGTTTTTTCATTTGTTGTTGTTCCATTTTCAAACGAAAAGATAATTATGGTTTTTAATTGGAATATTTTGACAAATATGACATGACATTCAGTACTGATAACAATACGATAGAATAATTACTACACCGAAAGCGAACGTTTGATCGAGGGGCGGGGCTTAATTGCAAGATCCATATTCGTCTACCAAAATTTACGATTTCAAACATGTTTTAATTTTCTTGTTCTGAAAAGACTTCTACGTATAATAACACAAACGGCAAAATATAAGCCCCTCCCACCCACCCTATCTCAATTGTGATGATTTACCATCTGCAACGTGTTTTAAGTTTCTAAGAATTAAAAAATAATCACAATCGAGATGGGGTGGGTGGGTGGGGTTTATATTTTACCTTTTATTCTTAATATACATAGTATTGTTTGAACAACACGATACTCAAAAACATATTTTTAGCTTCTTGTAAAGAAATAAGTATTTTGCAGTCAAGCTCCGCCTTCTTGGCTCACGACGAAAAAAAATCATCACAATTGAGATAGGGCGGGTGGGCGGGCTGATATTTTGACTTTTTGTTTTAATATGTGTAGATTTCTTTTCGCAACATGAAACTTAAAACATGTTTAAAATGGAAAATTAGTATAAGGAAATATCGATTTGGCAATTAGGCTCCGTCCCATAATTGCAAAAATCCATATTTCCTTCCAAAAATGTACCATTTTAACCATGTTCTAAGTTTCTGTTGTGAAAAGTATTTCTAGGGGCTATAGTTGCCAAGTTTAGAATCAACAGGTGGTGTTTCAATAGAAATGACAGACTATACGTTTTTTTATTATTTTTTTTGGGACTCCCGAAAGCCCCGTACATAAAGTACTGAAGAGTTAATCCACCCGGTATAACCAGAGGAAGTTTAACCATGTTCAAAATTGTCTTATTGTTTCTGAAGGAGTTCTAAAGTTGTCTCCGCATCAGCGTACTCTTGATTTTCAACTGATTCTTTCAAGCAAGAGTGGATCACTGGACTCAGAAAATTTTTATGAACCGAAGAGCCGCTTTTCGTGAAGAAGCTAACAACTAAACCAACGATTACAGTGACGGTAACTCCAATTACAGCGTAAAAATAGAACGAGGTTTTGAAAATGACGCTAGGTTGAAACTGACTTCTGGAACATTTAAAAACATATAACTGTTGCTAGCAGCTTTATATTTACTTACGAAATAGTTTTATTCGTAGAGACAAAGTTGGAAGCGTTAAAAAAACTACAACCATTAGTAGAAAGGGGTTTCGTTGGATAACTGAGCAGACCTTTCGTTTGGTAGTATTTGGCAGGAATTGCTATACAAGCAACCGAAATACAACCCAAAATCATACCATACAAGGCCCCCTTCAAACCAAAATCAGTTTCACAAACGCACTAAAAGTGACATACTTGTTGGTTTGCTTTCGGAAAGAGAACTCCTAGCGTGAAAGCTCCAAGTATAGGTCCTTGCGTGATCCCCCATATGGTTAAAGACACCGAGAACACCTCTCCCATTCCTTGGATCACAAACACTAAACAACTGCACAAAAGTCCAACAATCAAAACTATTAATTTCAAAATATTTGTCGCTTTTTTATCCGATGGCTTCTTCTTTAGAAATTCGCATACGACGTCATTGTACATAACACCAGATAGAGCGTTCAAATTTGACGACATGGAACTGTACTAGAGTGAATTTTGTGGTGTCATAATTGAGTTTACCTGAGAGCTGCACTGCAAATAGCTGCTATAAAGAGACCGGGGATTCCGGGGAGATGTCCACCAATCTCTGTTACAAATAATGGGAAAAGTTGGTCATGTTTTGATATCAAGTGACTAGTCAAAGGATCACAGTCTTTGTACTTAGAATAGGCTACCAGACCAATGAAAACACAGAAAGTATGTACTAAAGACATACTGATTACAGTGTGTAGGACCGACCATGCACCATCTTTGTAGTTTGATAAACTGAGGAACTTTTGAAGTCCTGTTTGGTGTATGATGATTAGTGCAGTAGTTGTTGGTGCACCTCCTATAATGTATCCCCAGAAGCCATCTCTTGCTGTAAGATCGAGCTGAAAACTACAACGCGTTGTTGAATCCATCGAACGTAGTATGTCGTAGCTTACTTAAAAATTTCAAGTCTTTGACCCTCCGCTGCCGTGTTCCAAACAGATAAGAATCCTCCTGTTGTATTTAGACCAATTATATACAGGGTGATAAGAGACACCGCTATTATTCCAAACTGAAGGAAATCCGTCCACACCACCGTTTTCAAACCTCCTATCGAAGTGTAGAAAACGCAAACAACACACAAGAAAAAGGCACACAAACTAGGGTTAAATCCACTAGCTGAAATAGACACCGTATTATCATTCACCTCTCAAAATTACTCTACCAGTGGCAAATGTTAAAGATGGAGTGTAAGCCAGAATCGGAAATATAAAAATTTCACATAGCAGGTACAAAATTAAAGCAAACATTTTGATTTTTTTGTCGAATCTTTTTTCCAAATATTCGTACATGTTGGCCACTTGCAGTTTATAGAACACTGGAAGGTACACAAACGTAGCGAGAACACCCATAGCTACAAATGATCCTACATATAACCAAACGCTGCCACCGTATCGGTAGACATCTGCAACGGTCCCTATTAACAGCGTTCCTGAAATATGGCTACATTTTTCAGGTGTAGTTTAAGAACAAAATTTATAGAAGTACCTTACTGCTACTGACACTGCTATAGGAAGAATTTTCATGTTCTTGCCTCCCAGAAGATATTCTTTTATGGTTGCCTGCTTAGTCCCGAAGCACCCATAATAAATTCCAATCAAAGTACTAAACACCAAAGTACCTACAAATATAACATAATCGTAAGAGCTCAGTTTTAGTACGGAAGAAGTGTTAAGAGTCATGGTGAGGATCGTTGCAGTGGAATAACTACATTTCTTGTCACTGGTGGTTTTTTAAATTCAAGGTTTATATATAAATACACCATAGAAGGCACCCTTTAAAAAATTATATATTTTTGGAAACACTGAAAATGATATACCTTGTGATTTGCTTTTGGGAAAAGAATCCCCAACGAGAAAACCCCTAACAAAGGCCCTTGAGTAATCCCTACAACTGATAAAATGATATGAAATACTTCTCCCATTCGTTCCATTAGAAAGACCAAGCAGGTACACAAGAGCCCAACTACCAGGACTATGATTTTTAAAATGTCGCTGCCTCGTTTTTCTGAAGGTTGCTCCTTTAAAAACCGACACACCACGTCTTTGTAAATAACACCAGAGAGGGCGTTCAGGTTTGAAGACATAGAACTAGATTTGATAAGTTTTTGATCTAACACACAGAAGATATACCTGAGAGCTGCACTGCAAATAGCTGCTACGAAAAGACCAGTAACTCCTGGAAAACGCTTACCAACATCTGTTACAAAGTAAGGAAATAGTTGGTCGTGTTTTGATACCATGCGACTAGTTAAAGGATCACAGTCTTTGTACTGGGAATAAACTACCAAACCGATGACAACGCAGAAGATGTGTACTAAAGTCATACTGATTACAGTGTGGATGACAGACCAAACGCAATCTCTGTATTTTGGTAAACTTAAAAACTTCTGAACTCCTGTTTGGTGTACGATGATGACTGCTACAGCTGTTGGACCACCAGCTACGTAACCCCAGAAGCTATCTCTTGCTGTAAAATCAACGTTAAAGCTGCAACATCACTATTGTAGTACGACCCAAACTAATGGTGGCAGTTACTTGAAGGCTTGTAGTCTTTCACCCTGCAGTGCTGTGATCCAAACCGACAAAAATCCCCCAGATACCCTAACACCTACGGTGTATACTGTAACAAGAGATACCATTATGATTGCAAATTGAAGAAAATCGGTCCAAACTACAGTCCTTAAACCTCCGATTGAAGTATAAAAGACACAGATAACACAAAGGAAGAAAGCAGACCAAGCAGGGTTAATTCCACTAGCTGAAAGTTTTACGTTATATTTATTACATTTTTAGTAGTGTTACTCACCTGTGGCAAAAGTCAAAGATGGCGCGTACGCCATAATAGGGAACATAATAATTTCCGAGAGAAGGTAAATCGCAAAAGCCATCATTCTCGTCTTTTTATCAAATCTCTTTTCCAAGTATTCGTAAATATTGGTCACTTGAACTTTGAAAAAGACTGGTAAGTAAATGAAAATTGCCAGAAAACCCATAATGATGTAAGACACGATAAATAAACTTATACTAGCTCCATATCTGTACACTTCTGATACTGTTATGATGAGCAGAGACCCAGAAATGTGACTAAAATTGTATATATTTATTGGGTGTGTTAGCAAGTTTCAGAGTACCTTATTGCTACTGATATTGCTATGGGAATAATTTTCATGTTCTTGCCTCCCATAAGATATTCTTTGGTTGTAGCTTGTTTCGTTCCAAAGCAACCATAGTAAATTCCTATAAGAGTGCTGAACACTAGACTGCTTATAAATATAATATAGTCGTAGATGGAGAATGTGGACGATGTCTTTAGTGTCATGATGATACTACTAGAACTGTGGCAATAATTACCATACGATAAGAAAATACTGCTAAGTGCTTTTGTCTAGAATAAATTAGCTTATGTTTGCCTGTTAATGGTCTAAACCTTGAATTAAAAAATAGTGATTGTTAAAAATTTTTTATTTGTTATCCACTCCATGCGCACCTAGAAATACCGTAAACAGAATGAAAAAGGGCCATTAAAGCTGTGTTAAGTTTAAGTTTTTGTGATGACAATTCTACCGATCACAAGCAAAATTTGTTCATACCGACTGAAACGAGGATACGTCATTAACCAAAACCAGTTGCGTCTTAGCAGGTACTAGCCCCGCCCACCCACCCTCTCTTTCCTTAGAGAGTATGTCATTTAATACATACTAATTGCACAAGTCTAAAAAAGTTTAAAAAATTAAAACCTATTAAATAAAAATAATATAGGAGAATCAGCGAGACAAGACGTGTACGTCATAAGTTTTGAAATGATGACGTATTATACTGCCAACATGAAAAAGAACATTTGTTAACATCACGCTTAGTCTTATGTTGGTCAGCGTGCGTTTCAACTTGCTTTGACAGGTGGATTTGTTTATACGACTTTTAGCAACCATAGTAAATTCCTCTAAGAGTGCTCAACACTATAGTGCTTAGGAATATGATGTAGTCGTAGATACCATTCGATAAGAAAATATTGCTAAGTGCTTTTATTGCTGTTTGAGCTGGCAATATAAGTAAATAATTAAATATCGCTATCAAGCAGGAAGTAAAACAGGGTGATCGTTCTACCAACCGTAAGCAAAATTTGTTGATACCAACTGAAAAAATTGCCTTATTTTTCCGGAAGGAGGTTTAAAGCTGTCTCCCCATTACCACACTCCAGATTTTTCACCTGATTTTTTCTGTAAGCAACGATTAAATATACAGAACGGTCGAATAATTTTGTTATTTTAAGTTTTTTCACTAGGCAAACGGACAGTGTGATCCACGGCAACTCGTTTCCTGCGCTACTGCTTTTATAGGGATTTTTCCCATTTATTTTGTCTCCCGCGACGTTAGTGAACCGTAAAAAGACTTAAGTTATTGGTCGCTCCGAATTTTGCTGTTTTATAAGGTTTAGTTTGGTACGAAATCATGGTTCCCATGTCGTCATCGCTACGTTATGTCAGCATGCTGCATCTCTGTTAGTAAAGGCTGCGTTTCTTATGGTGTACGGTTCTGCGCATATTGTTCGCAATGTCTGACAAGCGCAATGATATTTGAAATATGCGAATATGCGAATTTCGTTCTTACGTTTGGGAATTGATGGTCGAGTCTTATTATCTGTTTGAATGGTACTACATGCAGATTTGGACATGCGTGTTAAGTAATTAAGATTTGCAAATTTGCGAATTTTGTTTTTATGTTCCGGGGATTTGTTTTTCGTGTTTTTGTTGCGATTTCCTCGTGAACGGATTTATTGACGGCACGAATCATTCGGGGTATTTTTGGCCGTTAATGGCTTAAAACCCAGAATTAAAATGAAAGCTATTATAATTGTTAATAATGTTTTAATTAATTGCACACTTTTAGAAATACTATAAACAGAAAGATTGCCTTATTTTTTCTGAAGAAGTTCTACAGCTGACTCCCCATTACTATATTCTTGATTTTCACCTGATTGTTTCTGTAAGCAAGAGTATACGACAGGACTCAGAAAATCTTTATGAACCGAAGAGCTGCTTTTCGTGAGGAAACTAATAACTAAACCAACGATTACAGTGACGGTGGCTCCAATTATACAGTAACAATGGAACGAGGTTCTAAAAATGACGTTAGGTTGAAACTGATTTCTAGAACATTTCGGTATAAGTGTTGGTAGTAGTCTTCTACGTACTTACAATGTAGTACTGTTGGTGGAGACAAAATTGGTACCATTAAAAAAACTACAACCACTAGTGGAGAGTGGTTTCGTGGGAGAACTTAATAGACCTTTTCTCTGATAGTATTTGGCAGGGATTGCTATACCAGCAACCGTAATACAACCCACAAACATACCATACAACGCCCCCTTCAAAGCAAAATCAGTTCCCAAACGCACTAAAATTTACCTACTTGGTGGTTCGCTTTCGGAAAGAGAACTCCTAACGTGAAAACTCCTAGTATAGGTCCTTGGGTGATCCCCCATATTACTGAACTCATCGAGAGGACCTCTCCGAATCCTTCCATTGCAAACACTAAACAACTGCACAAAAGACCAATAACCAAGACTATTAGTTTCAAAATATTTGTGGCCTTTTTATCCGAAGGCTTCTTCTTTAGAAACTCGCATACGACGTCCTTGTATATAACCCCAGATAGCGCGTTCAAATTTGACGACATGGAACTACTTTAGAGTGAATTTTGCGGTGGCATAATTGAGTTTACCTGAGGGATGCACTGCAAATAGTTGCTATAAAGAGACCGGGGACTCCGGGGAGACTTCCACCAATCTCTGTCACAAAATATGGAAGGAGTTGGTCATGTTTTGACATCAAGTGACTAGTTAAAGGGTCACAGTCGTTGTATTTAGAATAGGCCACCAGACCAATAAAAACGCAGAAAGTATGTACTAAAGTCATACAGATTACGGTGTGTACCACCGACCATACGCAATCTTTGTAAGTTGATAAGCTGAGAAACTTTTGAAGTCCTGTTTGATGCACGATGACTAGTGCAGTACTTGTTAATCCACCTCCTATAACGTATCCCCAGAAGCTATCTCTTGCTGTGAGATCGAGCTGAAAACTACAACGCGTTGTTGATTTCATCGAACGTATTATGTCGTAGTTTACTTAAACATGTCAAGTCTTTGTCCGTTCGCTGCCGTATTCCAAGTAGATAAGAATCCTCCTGTTGTCTGTAGACCAATTATATACAGGGTGATAAGAGATATCGTTATTATTCCAAACTGAAGGAAATCCGTCCATACCACTGTTTTCAAACCACCTATTGAAGTGTAGAAAACGCAAATAACACACAAGAGGAAAGCACACAAACTTGGGTTAAGTCCACTAGCTGAAATATTCGCTGCATGGTCAATTTATCTATCGAAATTACTTTACCAGTGGCAAATGATAATGATGGGGTGTAGGCCATAATCGGAAACATAAAAATTTCACATAGCAAGTACAAAATCAAAGCAAATAGTTTTATTTTTTTGTCGAATCTCTTTTCCAAATATTCGTATATGTTTGCCACTTGCAGTTTAAAGAACACTGGAAGGTACACAAACGTAGCAAGAAGACCCATAACTACAAATGCTCCAACATATAACCAAATACTGCTACCGTATCGGTAGACATCTGCAACCGTCCCTATTAACAGCGTTCCTGAAATGTGGCTACATTATTCAGGTGTAATATAAGAACAAAATTATAGAAGTACCTTATTGCTACTGACACTGCTATAGGAATAATTTTTATGTTCTTGCCTCCAAGAAGATATTCTTTTACGGTTGCCTGCTTAGTACCGAAGCACCCATAATAAATTCCAATCAAACCACTAAACAGTAAAGTACCTACAAATATAACATAATCGTAAGAGCTCAGTCTTAGTACGGAAGAACTTTTAGGAGTCATGGTGGTGATACCAAGTACAACTCGTTACAAGTTACTGCGTTGAATGTTTAGGCATTATTCGTTTTTTTAGATTAAAGATTTGTGTGTATGTTCAGTCGTTTTGAAAAAAAAGTGCATAATATTTGCACATATATCTTGTAAACAATATCAGCAGTCAGTGTTTTCCAGACAGCGATAGTCAGACAAAAAATTGCTTCGTAACACCTATATTTTAAACTGAAATATTCTATGCTTTATTAGTTAATATTTTCACAATGTATGGGTGTTTAAAATCGGCGTGGGTTAGACCCAACAATTTATTTCTTAATAACTCAAATTTACACGACTGATTACAGAGCGATTATGGACAAAATAATTCCGGCGCAACTTAGCTGGGTTTTCTCGATACTCGCTGAACTCGACTCGACTGAATAATAATCGATAAGAAAAAACTACTAAATGCTTTTATGTAGAATAATTTAGGTTATTTTTGGCCGTTTATGGCCTAAAAACTTGAATTAAAATAAAATCTGTTATAATTGTTAATAATGCTTTAATTGTTAATCATTGTCAAATTTAAGTTTTTAAAAACCACTAGAAAATATAGTGTGATCACAAAATCAGTAATTAAATATCAATCTGAAACTGGAAGTAAAATACTATAAACTACCAACTGAAAAACTCTGCCTTATGTTTTCGGAAGGAGTTCTAAAGCTGTCTCCCCATTAACACACTCTCGATTTCCACTTGATTTTTTCTGTAAACAAGAGTATACAACAGGACTCAGAAAACTTTTATGAACCGAAGAGCCGCTTTTCGTGAAGTAACTAATAACTAAACCAACGATTACAGTGACGATGGCTCCAATTACAGGGTAACAATGGAACGAGGTTTTAAAAATGACGTTAGGTTGAAATTGATTTCTAGAATATTTTAGTATAAGTGTTGGTAGTAGTTTTCCATGTACTTACAATGTAGTACTATTGGTGGAGACAAAGTTGGTACCATTCAAAAAACTGCAACCACTAGTGGAGAGTGGTTTCGTGGGAAATCTTAACAGGCCCTTCATTTGATAGTATTTGGCAGGGGCTGCTATACCAGCAACCGTAATACAACCCACAAGCATACCATACAAGGCCCCCTTGAAACCAAAAACAAAATCACAAAAGCACTAAAAATAACATACTTGGTGGTTCGCTTTCGGAAAGAGAACGCCTAACGTGAAAGCTCCAAGTATAGGTCCTTGCGTGATCCCCCATATTGTTGAAGACACTGTGAAGACCTCTCCCAATCCTTCCATTGCAAACACTAAACAGCTGCACAAAAGACCAATAACCAAGACTATTATTTTCAAAATATTCGTGGCCTGTTTATCTGAAGGCTTCTTTTTTAGAAATTCGCATACGACGTCCTTGTACATAACACCAGATAAAGCGTTCAAATTTGACGACATGGAACTACACTAGTGTAAATTTTGCGATGGCATAATTGAGTTTACCTGAGGGCTGCACTACAAATAGCTGCTATAAAGAGACCGGGGACTCCGGGGAGACTTCCACCAATCTCTGTTACAAAGAATGGGAAAAGTTGGTCATGTTTTGTAATCAAGTGACTAGTCAAAGGGTCACAGTCTTTGTATTTAGAATAGGCTACCAGACCGATGCAAACGCAGAAAGTGTGTACTAAAGACATACTGATTACGGTGTGTACCACCGACCATACGCAATCTTTGTAATTTGATAAGCTGAGGAACTTTTGAAGTCCTGTTTGATGTATGATGATAAGTGCAGTAGCTGTTGATCCACTTCCTATAATGTAAGCCCAGAAGCTATCTCTTGCTGTGAGATCGAGCTGAAAACTACAACGCGTTGTTGAATTTATCGAACATTGTGTCGTAGTTTACTTAAAAATGTCAAGTCTTTGTCCTTCCGCTGCCGTGTTCCAAACAGATAAAAATCCTCCTGATGTCTGTAAACCAATTATATACAGAGTGATAAAAGATACAATTATTATCCCAAACTGAAGGAAATCCGTCCACACCACCGTCTTCAAACCTCCTATCGAGGTATAGAAGACGCAAACAATCGACAAGAAAAAAGCACACAAACTGGGATTAAGTCCACTAGCTGAAATAGACACAGTATTGTCAATTCACTTACCAAAATTTGGTTTACCAGTGGCAAATGTTAAAGATGGGGTATAGGTAAGAACAGGAAACATAAAAATTTCACATAGCAGATACAGGATCAAAGCAAACATTTTAATTTTTTTGTCGAATCTCTTCTCCAAATATTCGTACATGTTGGCCACTTGCAGTTTAAAGAATACCGGAAGGTACACAAACGTAGCAAGAAGACCCATTACTATAAATGATCCAACATATAACCAAATACTGCCACCGTATCGGTAGACATCTGCAACCGTCCCTATTAACAGCGTTCCTGAAATGTGGCTACATTTTTCAGGTGTAGTTTGAGAACAAAATTAGAAGTACCTTACGGCTACTGACACTGCTATAGGAAGAATTTTCATGTTCTTGCCCCCCAAAAGATATTCTTTTAGGGTTGCCTGCTTAGTCCCGAAGCACCCATAATAAATTCCAATCAAACTACTAAACAGTAAAGTACCCACAAATATAACATAATCGTAAGAGCTCAATCTTAGTACGGAAGTTTTAGGAGTCATGGTGGTGATAGGACTAATACGAAGTGAAACAAAGTTGTAGTTTTAGTCACTATTTGTTTTTGTTTTTTAATTCAAGGTTTGTGTGTTTGTTCGGTCGTTTTGAAAAAAGTGCATACAATTTGCACATATATCTTGTAAACAATCGCAGCAGATAGGGTTTTTATGCAGCGATAGTCGCATAACCTATTTTTTGAACTGCTTTTTCAATTAACAATTTATTAGTTGGAATTGATACTTTAAAAGTAATAGATGTTTTTTAATACATATTTACACCTTATATTTTACGCAAAACATGACAAAGATAAGATAGTGAATGATTCACAGTGTCGCGAATTAGGTTATAACTAAAAACACGACTTTTGTTTTATTTAAGGTACGCCCTCATTGCTTCTGACTAAGAAGTTCCAACGCCGCTTCAGTGTTCCGGTCTGACACTTCATCTTCATTGTCTTGAGATGCTTTACACAGACACGATGTCATTGTACTTAGAAGGTCCTTATCAACTGGAGAACCCGTAGTGAAAAAACTAATAATAATCAAACCAAGTCATGATGGTTCCGATTAACGCATAATAATATAACATCGTCCTAAAAATCACATTGGGTTCCAGTGGAGTTTCATGGTTTCTGAAAAACTAGCTACATTTGACAATAATTAGGAACCAAATTCTTACAACGTTGTATTCAAAGCACTCAAAGTTTCGTTCAATAGGGTACAACCGCTCGTCGAGAGAGGTTTCGTGGAGTACTTGATCAAACCCCCCAGTACACCATAGAAGGCACCCTTTAAAAAATTATATATTTTTTGAAACACTGAAAATGATATACTTTGTGATTTGCTTTTGGGAAAAGAATTCTCAAAGAGAAAACTCCTAACAAGGGTCCTTGAGTAAGCTCTACAACCGATAAACTGATATTAAATACTCCTCCTATTCGTTCCACTAGGAAGACCAAGCAGGTACACAAGAAACCAACAACCAGGACTATGATTTTTAAAATATCGCTGCCCTTTTTTTCTGATGGTTGCTCCTTTAAAAACCGACACACCACGTCTTTGTAAATAACACCAGAGAGGGCGTTCAGGTTTGAAGACATAGAACTGGGTTTGATAAGTTTTGTGATTTGCTACGGAGAGGATATACCTGAGAGCTGCACTGCAAAGAGCTGCCAACGAAAGACCAGAAACACCTGGGAAACGGCGACCAATATCTGCTACAAAGTAAGGAAATAACTGGTCGTGTTTTGATACCATGTGACTAGTTAAAGGATCACAGTCTTTGTACTGAGAATAAACTACCAAACCGATGAAAACGCAGAAGGTGTGTATTAAAGCTATGCTGAATACAGTGTGGATAACAGACCATACACAGTCTCTGTATTTTGGTAAACTTAAAAATTTCTGAACTCCTGTTTGGTGTACGATAACTACCGCCACGACTGTTGGACCACACGCTACATAACCCCAGAAGCTATCTCTTGCTGTAAAATCAACGTTAAAGCTACAACATTACTATTATAGTATCCTCTAGAGTAATGGTAGCAATTACTTGAAGACTTGTAGTCTTTCACCCTCCAGTGCTCTATTCCAAACAGTTGAAAATCCTCCAGATACATTAAGGCCTATTACGTACAATGTGACAAGAGATATCATTATGACCCCAAATTGAAGAAAGTCTGTCCAAACTACAGTCTTGAAACCACCTATTGAGGTATAAAAAACGCAAATAAGACACAAGACGAAAGCAGACCATGAAGGGTTCATTCCACTAGCTAAAATTCTCGGTTCATATTTATTACACTTTTACCGTGTTTCGCACCTATGGCAAAAGTCAACGATGGCGCGTACGCCATAATCGGGAACATAATAATTTCCGAGAGAAGATAAATCGCAAAAGCCATAATTCTCGTTCTTTTATCAAATCTCTTTTCCAAGTATTCGTAAATATTGGTCATCTGGACTTTGAAAAAGACTGGAAGATAAATGAAAATTGCCAGAAGACCCATAATGACGTAGGATACGATGAATAACCACATGCTAGCTCCGTATCTGTACACCTCTGACACAGTTGCGATGAGCAGAGACCCAGAAATATGACTAAAATTTGATGTATTTGTTGGGTTTGTTAGCAAATTTGAGAGTACCTTATTGCTACTGATACTGCTATGGGAATAATTTTCATGTTTTTGCCTCCCATAAGGTATTCTTTGGTTGTAGCTTGTTTCGTTCCAAAGCAACCATAGTAAATTCCTATAAGTGTGCTGAAGACTAGGGTGCTTATGAATATAATGTAGTCGTAAATGCCGAGTGTCGATGATGTCTTCAGTGTCATGATACTGATACTAGAACTGTGGTAATGACTACCATACGATAATGAATTGTTGCTAAGTACGTTTATCTAGAATAATTTAGGTTATTTTTGCTCGTTAATGGCTTGAATCCTTGAGTTAAAAAAGGATTATAATTGTTAATAATGCTTCACTTGCGCACTTGGAAATACGATAAACAGAACGAAAGTAGGCCATTAGTAGCGTATCGTGTTGAAGTTTAAAATAAAAGACAAAGATATATATTTGTTTCATTTGTCAACCCCATTCACGCTCGCTTTCAAAAAAAAAAAAAAATACAATCTATAAAAATACAGTATGATCAACAAATGCTCATGGCAATATAAGTAAATAATTAAATGTCACTGTGCCAATTTTGATAGCAATAAGTAAACGATGTTAAAAATTGTCTTGTTGTTTATGAAGGATATCTAAAGGTGTCTCCGCATTAGGATACTCTTGATTTTCACCTGACTCCTTCTGTAAGCAAGAGTATACAACAGGACTCAAAAAATCTTTATCAGCTGAAGAGTTGCTTTTGTTGAAGAAACTAATAACTAAACCAACGATCACAGTGACGGTAGCTCCAATTATGGTGTAATAATAGAACGAGGTTTTAAAAATGACGTTAGGTTGAAACTGATTTCTGGAACATTTCAATGTAAGTGTTGGTAGTGATCTTCTATGTACTTACAATGTAGTACTGTTGGTGTAGACAGAGACATTAAAGAAACTGCAACCACTAGTGGAGAGTGGTTTCGTGGGAGAACTAAACAGACCCTTCATCTGGTAGTACTTGGTAGGAATTGCTATACCAGAAACCGTAACACAACCCACAAGCATACCATACAAGGCCCCCTTGAAACCAAAATCAAAATCACAAACGCACTAAAAGTAACATACTTGATGGTTCGCTTTTGGAAAGAGAACTCCTAGCGTGAAAACTCCAAGTACAGGTCCTTGGGTGATCCCCCATATTGTTAAAGACACGGAGAAGACCTCTCCCATTCCTTCCATTGCAAACACTAAACAACTGCACAAAACACCAATAACCAAGACCATTAGTTTCAAAATATTCGTAGCCTTCTTTTCCGAAGGTGTTTTCTTTAGAAATTCGCATACGACGTCTTTGTATAAAACACCAGATAAGGCGTTCAAATTTGACGACATGGAACTACACTAGAGTAAATTTTGTGGTACCATAATTGAGTTTACCTGAGGGCTGCACTGCAAATAGCTGCTATAAAAAGACCCGAGACTCCGGGGAGATTTCCACCAATCTCTGTTACCAAATAAGGAAAGAGTTGGTCATGTTTTGATATCAAGTGACTAGTTAAAGGGTCACAGTCTTTGTACTTAGAGTAGGCTACCAAACCAATGAAGATGGAGAAAGTATGTACTAAAGACATGCTGATTACAGTGTATATAACCGACCATACGCAATCTTTGTAATTAGATAAGCTGAGGAACTTTTGGAGTCCTGTTTGATGTACGATGATTAGTGAAGTAGATATTGATCCACTTCCTATAATGTATCCCCAGAAGCTATCTCTTGCTGTGAGATCGAGCTGAAAACTACAACGCGTTGTTGAATTTATCGAACATTGTGTCGTAGTTTACTTAAAAATGTCAAGTCTTTGTCCTTCCGCTGCCGTGTTCCAAACAGATGAGAATCCTCCTGATGTCTGTACACCAATTATATACAGAGTGATAAAAGATACCATTATTATCCCAAACTGAAGGAAATCCGTCCACACCACCGTCTTCAAACCTCCTATCGAAGTATAGAAGACGCAAACAATACACAAGAAAAAAGCACACAAACTGGGGTTAAGTCCACTACCTGAAATTGACACAGTATTGTCAATTCACTTACCAAAATTTCTTTACCAGTAGCAAATGTTAAAGATGGGGTATAGGCCAGAACAGGAAACATAAAAATTTCACATAACAAGTACAAGATTAAGGCAAACATTTTAATTTTTTTGTCGAATCTCTTCTCCAAATATTCATACATGTTAGCCATTTGCAATTTAAAGAACACTGGAAGGTACACTAACGTAGCAAGAAAACCCATAAATATAAATGATCCTACAAATAACCAAACACTGCCACCGTATCGGTAGACATCTGCAACTGTTCCTATTAACATGGTTCCTGAAATGTGGCTACATTCTTCAGGTGTAGTTTAAGAACAAAATTTATAGAAATACCTTACTGCTACTGACACTGCTATAGGAAGAATTTTCATGTTCTTGCCTGCCAGAAGATATTCTTTTAGGGTTGCCTGCTTAGTCCCGAAGCACCCATAATAAATTCCAATCAAACTACTAAACAGTAGAATACCTACGAATATAACATAATCATAAAGACTCAATCTTAGTGATGAGTAAGTCATTTTAGGTATTCACGTTGTATTTAAATGACAAACTAGACAAATTCACTAGCTATTCTTATTAACTTCAAGTGTACATAAATCGCTTTTATATCTTGTAAATAATGTGGTAGATAGTGTTTTTGAATAATCAGTAAAGCAAAGCTTCGGGTCGACCTTCAAATTAAAATAATTTGTGATATATTTACTCGTTTGAACCAGTTTCCTAGAGCCTAAGCGTGCAACACGTCCTAAGCAGCCGCACTTGAGACAGGTTTCACGGGTATCATATGTGTAAAAGTTTGTAAAATGCAAGAGGTTAGAAAAATAAAATAACCACTATCTATATAGGTGCTTTTTATTCAAGGTCCACGCCCAAACTTCCATTTACCTACTAGTCGACATTTTAACCACAATCATGACACCTAACACGTCTTGATCGCCTACTTTAAGCTGGTTTGATTACATTATATTTGCAGGTACTTTAACTTTCAGTACTTTGATCGGGATCTACTATGGGTGCTTTGGCACCAGACAAGCAACCACCAGAGAGTATCTAAGGGGTGGCAAAAGCATGAAAATCGTTCCTATAGCAATATCTGTAGCAGTCAGGTGAGTTCATGACAAATTTCAAATCGCCACAATTCTGACAATTGTAGCCATATTTCTGGAACTATGCTACTAGGAACAGCGGCAGTGGATTAATTATCAGCGCTATGTCAAAGAGTAAGTCTGCAGTTGACAGGAAACTGCTAAGTCCCTTGATATACAAGCGCTTACCTGAAGAATGCCCAGAGGAAAAGATGACTTGTATTAGTGCAGGAGAAACTTCATAAATTCTTAGTTAGAATTTGCGCGTTTTGTGAATAGTAGTACTGTTATCTTTGTAATTTTGCTATGTTGTTGTTATAATAATAATAATAATAATTTAATGGTACAGTCATAGTAAACTTTAGATAATAACAGGTGTCAATTATTCTAGATAATCAACAGATATGCACTTCGTCCAACGTAAGAATCTGCCGGAAGTTAATGGTACCGTGGCACAGAAAGACCTTTATCTTTTTGTTTTCGCTGTTATCATAATTCTACATAACCTAAAAGAGCTTATCAAAATGAAGTACGTTATTTTAATTCAAGGCTGTAACACCTCATTCCGATTACCTATTTGTGCATTGCTTGTGTGCACTTTTTGGATTTAGTAAATCCGGTACTTTTGAAGCTCAACCATGACACCTAGTTTAAATTCAACGGTCACTTTGAGTTGGTACGATTACACCATCTTTGTAGGTACTCTAGTGTTCAGTACTATGATCGGGATCTACTACGGGTGCTTTGGAACTAAGCAAGCAACAATGAAAGAGTACCTCATGGGAGGGAAAACAATGAAAATCGTTCCTATAGCAATATCAGTAGCAGTGAGGTGAGGCTGCGACAAATTCGTCAAATGATCGTCGCAATTCCAAAAATTCTAGTCATATTTCTGGAAGTTTGTTACTAGGAACAGCAGCAGATGTCTTCAGGTACGGAGCTAGCGTGTGGTTGGTTAATTTATCGTTCATAGTAATGGGGCTAGCGAATTTTGTTTACCTTCCTGTGTTCTTTAAACTGCGACTGAGAAACATTTACGACTATTTGGAAAAAAGATTCGACTCAAAAACAAGACTGTTAGCTATTGTGTTTTACTTGATTGCTGAGATTCTTATATTTCCAGTGCATGTGTACACTCCATCATTGACATTAGCTACCGGTAATGATCTGTTCGATGTGTTCAAATTATAATTTAGTTGTAATTTCAGCTAGTGGTTTCAATGTAAATCTGGTAGCTTTTATTTTATCTGCCATCTGCGTCTTTTACACTTCAGTGGGTGGTTTTAAAACCGTAATTTGGACTGACTTTCTTCAGTTTGGTATCATAATGGCGTCTTTTATCATCGTTTATGTGATAGGTCTTAGATTGACTGGAGGGTTTTTATCAGTGTGGAACACAGCATTAGCTGGTGAAAGATTACAAATTTTTAAGTAACCACTACTATATACTTACTAGTGCTAATGACTAAAATGTTATTGTAGTTTTGATGTTAATCCCACAGTAAGAGATAGCTTCTGGGGATACTTAATAGGCGGTGGAGCAATTTTTGCAGGCTATGTAGCCTGTCGTCAAACTGGGGCTCAAAAATTTTTAACCTTACCAAAATCTACAGACATCAAATGGTCTATTATATACACTGTAATTAGTATGGCAGTGGTTCACACTTTGTGCATTTTTGTTGGGTTAGTGGTTTACGCCAAATACAAAGACTGTGACCCTTTGACTAGTCACAAGATCTCAAAACATGACCAAATTTTTCCGTACTTCGTAACCGAGATAGGTGGCACCGTACCAGGACTCTCGGGTCTCTTCATAGCAGCTATTTGTTGTGGATCTTTAAGGTACATCTTCTTTTTCACTGCATTTTAAATGCACTACTATCTATATTGTAGTTCAATGTCTTCAAACCTAAACGCTATTTCTGGTGTTATCTACAAAGACATTGTGTACTTCTTTCTCAAGAAAGAACTTTCAGACAAAAGCAGCAGCGGTATTTTGAAAGTAATAGTTCTAGTTGTTGGAACCTTGTGTACTTGTTTGGTGTTTACAGTGGAATTATTGGGGGACGTGTTTTCTGTCGGTGTATTAGCGACAAGTCTTACTCAAGGACCGTTGTTGGGGGTTTTTACACTAGGAATTTTCGTTCCTAAAGCAAACCCAAAGGGGGCATTTTACGGTATGCTTGGAGGTTTTACAGCTGCTATTGGCCTCACACTTCCTGCCAAATATTACGAACTGAAGGGTTTGATAAAGTACCCTACGAAACCCCTGTCAATAAGTGGTTGTGGTCCGTTCAACCAAACGACAAATTTTACTTCTTTTGGCAACACTGCATTGTAATATAAGTGTTCTGTTTGTAATTAACCTATTTTAATTTTTTTTTTGTACAGAAATGACACCGTAGCACACCAACCCCCTTCCATTTTTAAAATTACGTTTTACTACTATACGTTTTTTGGAGCCATCATGACCATCGTTTTCGGTTTAATTATTAGCTATATGTCAAAGAGTGCTTCGGTTGACAGAAAAGTGCTAAGTCCCTTGATATACAGGTACTTACCTGATGAAGGTCGGGAAGAAGAGAGGGTGTCTTGTACTGGTGCACAAGAAACTTCATTGAATCTGGGTTAGAATTTTTGGGTACTGTTGTTAGGTTGGGCTCATGTTTTGTGTTCGTTGTTGTCATTTTAAATAACCAGGCATAAATTTAAGATATAATTTGTTAGACCATTATGTAAAAAAATGCAATGTTAATGTCGTTATCAAAATAAAATAAGTTATTTCAATGCAAGGTTACGACACTTCCATTCCAATTAGCTATTCGTGCATAGTCAGTGTACACTTTTCAAATTTAGTACAACTGGTACAATTGGAGCTAAATCATGACCCCTAATTTAAATTCAAAGGTCACTTTGAATTGGTACGACTATGCCATCTTTGTAGGTACTTTAGTTTTCAGTACTATGATCGGAATCTATTACGGATGCTTCGGAACTAAACAAGCAACAACCAGAGAGTACCTCATGGGAGCGAAAACCATGAAAATCATCCCTATAGGAATCTCAGTGGCAGTGGGGTGAGTTACCACAAAACATTCAAGCGTCACAGTTCTGAAAATTTTAGCCACATTTCCGGAACTTTTCTACTAGGAACAGCAGCAGAAGTATTCAGATACGGAGCCAGCGTTTGGTTGATGGTTGTGTCAATAATAATAATGGGGTTCCTAGTAAATTATATTTACCTTCCTGTGTTTTTTAAATTGCGACTAAGAAACATTTACGACTATTTGGAGCAAAGATTCGACAAGAAAACGAGAATTTTGGCCATTGTGTTTTACGTGGTTGCTGAAGTTTTTTTATTTCCAGTGCAAGCGTACACTCCATCGTTGACATTCGCAACTGGTACAAAGTACTATAGGTTTTTTTTAAACTGACACTCTTGTTTCAGCTAGTGGTTTTAATGTCAATCTGGTCGCGTTTATCTTGTGTGCCGTTTGCGTCTTTTACACTGCGATTGGTGGTTTCAAAACGGTCATTTGGACGGATTTTTTTCAATTTGGAATAATAGTGACGTCTTTCGTTAGCGTTTACTTGATCGGTCTGGGAAAATCTGGAGGGTTCTTGTCGGTGTGGTACACAGCTTTGGCTGGGGAAAGACTACAGGTTTTTAAGTAAGTACTACTAGTTAGGGTTGATGATTACCCAAGAGTGTTATTGTAGCTTCGATGTTGACCCTACAGTCAGAGGTACTTTCTGGGGGTATCTGATAGGTCTAGCAGCCGCTTCTACTAGCCATCTGGCCGTACGTCAAACCGGGGCCCAAAAATTTTTAACCTTAGGAAAATCTACCGATCTCAAGTGGTCGGTTACCTACACCGTAATTAGTATGTCTGTGCTCCAGACTTTGTGCGTTTTGGTTGGCTTAGTGGTTTATGCCAAGTACCAAGACTGTGACCCTCTCACCAGTCACATGATTTCAAAGCATGACCAAATTTTCCCGTTCTTTGTAACCGAGATTGGTGCCAGCCTACCAGGAATCTCGGGTCTCTTTATAGCAGCTATTTGTAGTGGATCACTAAGGTACATCTTCTCTTTCACTAATCGCTGTACTAAGATCTATGTTATAGTTCAATGTCGTCCAACTTAAACGCTCTCTCTGGTGTCATCTACAAAGACGTTGCGTACCTTTTCCTCAAGAAAAAACTCTCCGACAAAAGTAGTAGCGGTACTTTAAAAGTGATAGTCCTCGTAGTTGGAACCTTGTGTACCTGCTTAGTGTTTACAATAGGACTATTGGGCGAAATATTTTCCATTAGTTTGTTGTTGCTAGGTCTTGCAGAAGGACCGTTGTTGGGGTTGTTCACACTAGGAATTCTCTTCCCACAGGCAAATTCAAAGGTATAATTTCGTCAAACGTGAGTCAAGCAATAACCGTGTTTTAAAGGGAGCCTTCTATGGTACTCTTGGTGGTTTTATTGCTGTTGGAATTCTAGCAGTCCCCGCCAAATTCTACGAATTGAAAGGTTTGATAAAGTATCCCACGAAACCTCTGTCAGTACGTGGTTGCGATTTATTCAACCAAACGACAACCACAACAAATTTTACCACTGCTTTGTAATAAAAAAAATCTGCTAGTGCTCACTTAATTTTTGATTTTTTTTTTCAGAAACGATTCCGTTTCGTCCCAAGTACCCTCCATTTTTAGGATCTCGTTTTATTATTACACGTTTATTGGAGCCGCAATGACTGTCATTTTTGGATTAATTATCAGCTATATGTCAAAGAGTAAGTCTTCAGTTGACAGGAAATTGCTAAGTCCCTTGATATACAAGCGCTTACCTGAAGAATGCCCAGAGGAAAAGAAGATGACTTGTATTAGTGCAGGAGAAACTTCATAAATTCTTAGTTAGAATTTGGGCGTTTTGTCAATAGTAGTACTGTTATCTTTGTAATCTTGCTATGTTGTTGTTATAATAATAATAATAATAATTTAATGGTACAGTATCTAATAACAATTCGTAAGTGTCATAGTGTCATAGTAAACTTTCGACAATAAAGGGTGTCAATTATTCTAGATAATCAACAGATATGTACTTCCGGAAGTTAGTGGCATCGTGGCACAGAGAGAGCTTTATCTTTTTGTTTACGCTGTTATCATAATTCTACATAACCTAAAAGAGCTTATCTAAATGAAGTACGTTATTTTAATTCAAGGCTGTAACACCTCATTCCGATTACCTATTTGTGCATTGCTTGTGTGCACTTTTTGGATTTAGTTAATCCGGTACTTTCGAAGCTCAACCATGACACCTAGTTTAAATTCAATGGTCACTTTGAGTTGGTACGATTACACCATCTTTGTAGGTACTCTAGTGTTCAGTACTATGATCGGGATCTACTACGGCTGCTTTGGAACTAAGCAAGCAACAATGAAAGAGTACCTCATGGGAGGGAAAACCATGAAAATCGTTCCTATAGCGATATCAGTAGCAGTGAGGTGAGATTGCGACAAACTCGTCAAATGATCGTCGCAATTCCAAAAATTTTAGTCATATTTCTGGAAGTTTGCTACTAGGAACAGCAGCAGATGTCTTCAGGTACGGAGCTAGCGTGTGGTTGGTTAATTTATCCTTCATAGTAATGGGGCTAGCGAATTTTGCTTACCTTCCTGTGTTCTTTAAACTGCGACTGAGAAACATTTACGACTATTTGGAAAAAAGATTCGACTCGAAAACGAGACTGTTAGCGATTGTGTTTTACTTGATTGCTGAGATTCTTATATTTCCAGTGCATGTGTACACTCCATCATTGACATTAGCGACCGGTAAAGAATCTGTTCAATTTATTAAAATTATATTTTAATAAGTGTAATTTCAGCTAGTGGTTTTAATGTAAATCTAGTCGCTTTTATTTTATCTGCCATCTGCGTCTTCTACACTTCAGTGGGCGGTTTTAAAACCGTAGTTTGGACTGACTTTCTTCAATTTGGTATAATAATGGCGTCTTTTATCAGCGTTTATGTGATTGGTCTTGGAATGACTGGAGGCTTTTTGTCGGTGTGGAACACAGCATTAACTGGTGAACGACTACAAATTTTTAAGTAACCACTACTACATACTAGTGCTGATGATTAAAATGTTATTGTAGTTTCGATGTTAATCCCACAGTAAGAGACAGCTTCTGGGGATACTTAATAGGCGGTGGAGCAATTTTTGCAAGCTATGTAGCCTGTCGTCAAACCGGGGCCCAAAAATTTTTAACCTTACCAAATTCTGCAGACATCAAATGGTCTATTATATACACCGTAGTTAGTATGGCGGTGGTCCACACTTTGTGCATTTTCGTTGGGTTAGTGGTTTACGCCAAGTACAAAGACTGTGACCCTTTGACTAGTCACAAGATCTCAAAACATGACCAAATTTTTCCGTACTTCGTAACCGAGATAGGTGGCACCGTACCAGGACTCTCGGGTCTCTTCATAGCAGCTATTTGTTGTGCATCTTTAAGGTACATTTCTTCATTGCGTACTAAATGCACTACTATCTATATTGTAGTTCGATGTCTTCAAACCTAAACGCCATTTCTGGTGTTATCTACAAAGACATTGTGTACTTCTTTTTCAAGAAAGAACTGTCTGACAAAAGCGGCAGCGGTATTTTGAAAATAATAGTCCTAGTTGTTGGGACCTTGTGTACTTGCTTGGTGTTTACAGTGGAATTGTTAGGGGACGTGTTTTCTGTCGGTGTATTAGCGACAAGTCTTACTCAAGGACCGTTGTTGGGGGTGTTTACACTAGGAATTTTCGTTCCTAAAGCAAACCCAAAGGGGGCCTTTTACGGTATGCTTGGAGGTTTTATAGCTGCTATTTGCCTCACACTTCCTGCCAAATATTACGAACTGAAGGGTTTGATAAAGTACCCTACGAAACCCCTGTCAATAAGTGGTTGTGGTCCGTTCAACCAAACTACAAATTTAACTTCTTTTGGCACCACTGCATTGTAATATAAGTGTTCTGTTTGTAATTAACTTATTTTAATTTTTTTTTGTTCAGAAATGGTACCGTAGCACACCAACCCCCTTCCATTTTTAAAATTACGTTTTACTACTATACGTTTTTTGGAGCCATCATGACCATCGTTTTCGGTTTAATTATTAGCTATATGTCAAAGAGTGCTTCGGTTGACAGAAAAGTGCTAAGTCCCTTGATATACAGGTACTTACCTGATGAAGGTCGGGAAGAAGAGAGGGTGTCTTGTACTAGTGCACAAGAAACTTCATTGAATCTGGGTTAGAATTTTTGGGTATTGTTGTTAGGTTGGGCTCATGTTTTGTGTTCGTTGTTGTCATTTTAAATAACCAGGCATAAATTTAAGATATAATTTGTTAGACCATTATGTAAAAAAATGCAATGTTAATGTCGTTATCAAAATAAAATAAGTTATTTCAATGCAAGGTTACGACACTTCCATTCCAATTAGCTATTCGTGCATAGTCAGTGTACACTGTTAGAATTTAGTACAACTGGTACAATTGGAACTAAACCATGACCCCTAATTTAAATTCAAAGGTCACTTTGAATTGGTACGACTATACCATCTTTGTAGGTACTTTAGTTTTCAGTACTATGATCGGAATCTATTACGGATGCTTTGGAACTAAACAAGCAACAACCAGAGAGTACCTCATGGGAGCGAAAACCATGAAAATCATCCCTATAGGAATCTCAGTGGCAGTGGGGTGAGTTACCACAAAACATTCAAGCGTCACAGTTCTGAAAATTTTAGTCACATTTCCGGAACTTTTCTACTAGGAACAGCAGCAGAAGTATTCAGATACGGAGCCAGCGTTTGGTTGATGGTTGTGTCAATAATAATAATGGGGTTCCTAGTAAATTATATTTACCTTCCTGTGTTTTTTAAATTGCGACTAAGAAACATTTACGACTATTTGGAGCAAAGATTCGACAGGAAAACGAGAATTTTGGCCATTGTATTTTACGTGGTTGCTGAAGTTTTTTTATTTCCAGTGCAAGCGTATACTCCATCGTTGACATTCGCAACTGGTACAAAATACTATAGGTTTTTTTTAAACTGACACTCTTGTTTCAGCTAGTGGTTTTAATGTCAATCTGGTCGCGTTTGTCTTGTGTGCCGTTTGCGTCTTTTACACTGCGATTGGTGGCTTCAAAACGGTCATTTGGACGGATTTTTTTCAGTTTGGAATAATAGTGACGTCTTTCGTTAGCGTTTACTTGATCGGTCTGGGAAAATTTGGAGGGTTCTTGTCGGTGTGGTACACAGCTTTGGCTGGCGAAAGACTACAGGTTTTTAAGTAAGTACTACTAGTTAGGGTTGATGATTGCCCAAGAGTGTTATTGTAGCTTCGATGTTGACCCTACAGTCAGAGGTACTTTCTGGGGGTATCTGATAGGTCTAGCAGCCGCTTCTACTAGCCATCTGGCCGTACGTCAAACCGGGGCCCAAAAATTTTTAACCTTAGGAAAATCTACCGATCTCAAGTGGTCGGTTACCTACACCGTAATTAGTATGTCTGTGCTCCAGACTTTGTGCGTTTTGGTTGGCTTAGTGGTTTATGTCAAGTACAAAGACTGTGACCCTCTCACCAGTCACATGATTTCAAAGCATGACCAAATTTTCCCGTTCTTTGTAACCGAGATTGGTGCCAGCCTACCAGGAATCTCGGGTCTCTTTATAGCAGCTATTTGTAGTGGATCACTAAGGTACATCTTCAATTTCACTAATCGCTGTACTAAGATCTATGTTATAGTTCAATGTCGTCCAACTTAAACGCTCTCTCTGGTGTCATCTACAAAGACGTTGCGTACCTTTTCCTCATGAAAAAACTCTCCGACAAAAGTAGTAGCAGTATTTTAAAAGTGATAGTCCTTGTTGTTGGAACCTTGTGTACCTGCTTAGTGTTTACAATAGGACTATTGGGCGAAATATTTTCCATTAGTTTGTTGTTGCAAGGTCTTGCAGAAGGACCGTTGTTGGGGTTGTTCACACTAGGAATTCTCTTCCCACAGGCAAATTCAAAGGTACAATCTAGTTAAACATGAATCAAGCAATAACCGTGTTTTAAAGGGAGCCTTCTATGGTACTCTTGGTGGTTTTATTGCTGTTGGAATTCTAGCAATCCCCGCCAAATTCTACGAACTGAAAGGTTTGATAAAGTATCCTACGAAACCTCTGTCAGTACGTAGTTGTGATTTTTTCAACCAAACGACAACTACAACAAATTTTACTACTGCTTTGTAATAAAAAAAATCTGCTAGTGCTAACTTATTTCTTGATTTTTTTTTCAGAAACGATTCCGTTTCGTCCCAAGTACCCTCCATTTTTAGAATCTCGTTTTATTATTACACGTTCATTGGAACCGCAATGACTGTCATTTTTGGATTAATTATTAGCTATATGTCAAAGAGTGCTTCGGTTGACAGAAAACTGCTAAGTCCCTTGATATACAGGTGCTTACCTGAAGAAGGTCGGGAAGAAGAGAAGGTTTCTTGTACTAGTGCACAAGAAAGTTCATTGATTCTGCGTTAGAATTTTTGGGTACTGTTAGTAAATTTCAGTTTTAAAATAAACGTTTAATTTAGACAACCTATAGCTTATGTTTTGTGTTCGTTCTTGTCATTTTGAACAACCAGGCATAAATTTTAGATATAATTTGTTAGACCATTATGTGAACAGTTGCAATGTAAATGTGGCTATCAAAATAAAATAAGTTATTTCAATGCAAGGTTACGACACTTCCATTCCAATTGCCTACTTGTGCATAGTTTGTGCGCACTTTTCGAAGTCAGTAGAACTGGTACAATTGGAGCTAAACCATGACGCCTAATTTAAATTCAAAGGTCACTTTGAATTGGTACGACTATGCCATCTTTGTAGGTACTTTAGTTTTCAGTACTATGATCGGAATCTATTACGGATGCTTCGGAACTAAACAAGCAACAACCAAAGAGTACCTAATGGGAGGAAAAACTATGAAAATCATTCCTATAGCAATATCAGTAGCAGTGAGGTGAGGAGGTCGCGACAAAAATTGAAACAACTGCCACAATTCCAAAAATTTTAGTCATATTTCTGGAAATTTACTACTTATAACAGTGTCAGATGTCTTCAGATACGGAGCTAGCGTTTGGTTGCTTACTATTTCGTTTGTTGTTATGGGGTTTCTAGCCAATTTTGTTTACCTTCCCGTGTTCTTTAAACTGCGACTGACCAACATTTATGATTATTTGAAGGAAAGATTCGACACGAAAACACGAATGTTAGCTATTGTGTTTTACCTGATTGCTGAGATTCTTATATTTCCAGTGCATGTGTACAGTTCATCCTTGACATTAGCTACTGGTAAAGAATGTGTTGGATTTGATTCAAAGTGACATTGTAGTTTCAGCTAGTGGTTTTAATGTAAACCTGATAGCTTTTATTTTATCAGCTGTCTGCGTCTTCTACACTTCAGTAGGTGGTTTTAAAACCGTCATTTGGACCGATTTGTTTCAGTTTGGTATAATAATGGCATCTATTATCACCGTTTATGTAGTTGCTCTTAGGTTATGTGGCGGATTTTTACCGGTGTGGAACACAGCTATAGCTGGGGAAAGACTACAAGTTTTTAAGTAAGCAATACTTCTAGTGTTGACGATCATGTAAAAGTGTTATTATAGTTTCGATGTTGATCCTAGAGTAAGAGATAGCTTCTGGGCATACTTCATAGGTGCTGGAGCTCTCTTTGCGGCCAACGTAGCCTGTCGTCAAACTGGTGCCCAAAAATTCCTAACATTGGCAAAATCTACAGACCTTAAGTGGTCTATTACACACACTGTAATTAGTATGTCAGTGGTCCACACTTTGTGTGTTTTCGTTGGCTTAGTGGTTTACGCCAAGTACGAAAACTGTGACCCTTTGACTAGTCACATGATCTCAAAACATGACCAAATTTTCCCGTACTTTATAACCGAGATCGGTGCTGGGGTGCCAGGAATCTCTGGTCTCTTTATAGCAGCTATTTGGAGTGCAGCCTTAAGGTAATTGTCTCTTTCAATGCGTATTATACTACTATCTCTCTTACAGCTCAATGTCTTCAAACTTAAACGCTATCGCTGGTGTTATATATAAAGACGTTGTGTACTTATTTTTCAAGAAAAAACCTTCCGACAATAGTGGCAGTGGTATTTTGAAAGTGATAGTTGTCGTTATTGGAACCGTTTGTACTTGCTTGGTGTTTACAGTGGAATTCTTAGGAGACATACTTTCTATTGGTGCAGTAGCACTAGGTCTTACGCAAGGACCGATGTTGGGAGTTTTCACACTAGGAATTTTGTTTCCAAAGGCAAATCCACAGGTAAAAGTTCACTAAAATATGTTTTAACGCACTGACGTTGTTTTACAGGGGGCCTTCTACGGTATGCTTGGAGGTTTAACAGCTACTATTTGTCTTACACTTCCTACCAAGTATTACGAACTGAGTGGTTTGATAAAGTATCGTACGAAACCGCTGTCAATAAGTGGTTGTGCTCTGATTAACCAAACGTTAACGACTACCAATTTTACTTCCTTGTAATACGGAGGTTTACTTTGTATGACTGACTTATTTTTGTCATTTTTCAGAAATGGTACCGTTTCCTTCCAACCCCCGTCCATTTTTAAGATTTCGTTTTACTATTACACGTTTTTTGGAGCCATCATGACCATCGTTTTCGGTTTAATTATCAGCTATATGTCAAAGAGTGCTTCGGTTGACAGAAAACTGCTAAGTCCATTGATATACAAGTATTTACCGGAAGAATGTCGAGACGAAGAAAAGGTGCCTTGCGTTAGCGTACAAAAACCATTGCAAATAGGTGATTAGAAATCTATTTAACTTGGTGCTAATATATGAATGTTTACTTTGAGCATGTTTGTGTTAAAGTGTTCGAATACTATCAACGTTGGTTAAATTCTTATATTTAGCTGTATCAATAGCAGTATTCAAAGTGTCATTAGACAGGGTTTACAATTTAAAGTATAATTTATTGGTTTACTGAGCGGACATTTGTTAAAAAAATACATAACATTGAACAAACTGACAGTTTTATTTTTAAGCCTGTAAATCTTTACAAAAATGCATTTCCAAGTGATGTGAATGTAATCTACCGGTCACAAACTTTCTCTGCAAAAATTATGAAATGTGTATAATAACTTAGGGAAAACCATCCAGAACTTTAGATACCTCACAACTAAAGATAGTTAGTGACTTTGTCATTTTAGTATACTATAGTTGTATTGAGCTGATAGATTTCATTACCCATTAGAGTCTTTCATAATGCAGAATTGCAGCCGTTATTTAAGACCTTGTAATAAAAAAGCCGTGATTAAAATAAAGTGCATTGCTGTCTACATATATAAATTTAATTCAAGGTTTCTGCAAATACAACTTCCATAGAAATGACTAATTTGTGTTTTAATTTCTTTGCATTTATTTTGTTCAGTATAACTGGCATATTTGGACGATAACCATGACGCCTAATACGCCTTCTTCGATTACTTTGAGCTGGTATGATTACACTATATTTGTAGGTACTTTAGTTTCCAGTACTTTGATCGGAATTTACTACGGATGTTTTGGAACTAAACAAGGAACCACCAGAGAGTACCTCATGGGAGGAACAACCATGAAAATCATTCCCATAGCAATATCAGTAGCAGTCAGGTGAGTTCACCACAAAATTTCAAATCGACACGATTCTGAAAATTGTAGCCATATTTCTGGAACTATGCTACTAGGAACAGCCTCAGAAGTATTCCGATACGGAGGTAGCGTTTGGTTGACTGTTGTTGCACTAACAGTAATGGGGTTTTTAACAAATTTCGTTTATCTTCCTGTGTTTTATAAACTGCGCTTGAAAAACATTTACGACTACTTGGAGCAAAGATTCGACAAGAAAACAAGAACGTTGGCAATCGTGTTTTACATGATTACTGAGATACTTTTATTCCCAGTGCATGCGTATTCTCCATCTTGAACATTTGCCACTGGTAAAGAATCAGTCAGATTTTTTTTAAACTGACACTGTAGTTTCAGCTAGTGGACTTAATGTAAACCTGGTTGCTTTTATCTTGTGCGCCATTTGCGTATTTTACACTTCAATAGGTGGTTTTAAAACCGTAATTTGGACGGATTTTCTTCAGTTTGCTATAATAGTGACATCTTTTATCAGTGTTTACGCACTAGGTCTTAGAACATCAGGTGGATTCTTGTCGGTGTGGAATACAGCAAGAGCTGGCCAGAGACTACAAGTTTTTAAGTAATCATTACTTATAGTGTTGATAATTGTGCAAAAATATGTTGTAGTTTCGATGTTGATCCTACGGTAAGAGATAGTTTCTGGGCATACTTTATAGGTTCAGGATGCTCCTTTACGGCCTACGTAGCCGTACGTCAAACCGGTGCCCAAAAATTTCTAACTTTAGAAAAATCTACAGATCTCAAATGGTCAGTTATATACACCGTAATTAGTATGTCTGTAGTCCAGACGTTGTGCGTTTTCGTTGGCTTTGTGGTTTATGCTAAGTACAAAGACTGTGACCCTTTGACTAGTCACAAGATCTCAAAACATGACCAAATTTTTCCTTATTTTGTAACTGACATTAGTACCAGTGTACCAGGAATTTCGGGTTTCTTTTTAGCAGCGATTTCTAGTGGATCACTAAGGTACATTTTCCCTTTCCGTAAGCGTTACACTAAGATCTATATTATAGCTCAATGTCTTCAAACCTAAACGCCCTCTCTGGTGTTATTTACAAAGACATTTTGTATTTGTTCTTCAAGAAAAAACCGTCTGACAAAAGTAGTAGTGGTATTTTAAAAGTGATAGTCCTTGTTGTTGGGACCTTGTGTACTTGTTTAGTGTTTACAATAGGACTATTAGGAGAAATACTTCCTATTAGTGTATTGATTGTAGGTTTTACTCAAGGACCGCTGTTGGGGTTGTTTACCCTAGGAATTCTCTTTCCAAAAGCAAATTCAAAGGTATAAAGTTATTGAACGTGTTTAAGTCAATAATACTTTTTTAAAGGGAGCCTTTTATGGTACTCTAGGAGGTTTTATTGCTGTTGTAAGTCTAGGACTTCCCGCCAAATATTTTGAAATAAGAGGCTTCGTAAAATATCCGACGAAACCCCTCTCTGTAATTGGTTGTGCTTTGTCCAATCAAACCATAACTGAGACAAGTCTTACTTATTTTAACAGCACTATATTGTAAGAAGTAAATTCTCTGTTAATCACTTATTTAGTTTTGATTTTTTTCAGAAATGATAGTGTTCCGTTCCAAACCCCTTCCATTTTTAAGCTTATGTTTTACTATTATTCCGGCTTTGGAACCGTCATGACTATTATTTTCGGATTAATTATTAGCTACATGTCAAAGAGTGACTCTTCGGTTGACAGAAAACTGCTAAGTCCCTTGATTTACAGATGCTTACCTGAAGAAGGTCGAGACGAAGAGAAGACGTCTTGTACACAAGACACTTCATTGAATTTTGGTTAGAGTATTACGCGTTTTATGAAGATTAAATTTTTTTGTAGGTACTGTTGTGATCTGGGTATATTGTTCTAAATTTTGAATAGATTAATCTCAAACATGTTCGAAGATTTTAGTATGTTGCTGTCAACGTAATAGACAAAAATGGCTTGTGTTTTATGTTCGTTGTTGTCATTTTAAATAATCAGGCATAAATTTTAGATGTCATTTGTTAAAAACTTATGTGATTATTTGTAATGTAAAAGCGGCTATCAAAATAAAATACGTTATTTTAATTCAGTGACACCTGCACTCCAATTAGGTACCTACTTGTGCACAGTCAGTGTGCACTTTTTGAATTTAGTACAACTGGTACAATTGGAACTACAACCATGACACCTAATTTAAATTCAACGGTCACTTTGAATTGGTACGACTATACCATCTTTGTAGGTACTTTAGTTTTCAGTACTATGATCGGAATCTACTACGGATGCTTTGGAACTAAACAAGCAACAACCAAAGAGTATCTCTTGGGAGGAAAAACTATGAAAATCGTTCCTATAGCGATATCAGTAGCAGTGAGGTGAGTTTGCGACAAACTCGTCAAATGATCGTCGCAATTCCAAAAATTTTAGTCACATTTCTGGAAACTTGCTACTAGGAACAGTATCAGATGTCTACAAATACGGAACTGGCATTTGGTTGCTTAATATTTCGTTTGTAGTTATGGGGTTTCTGGCAAATTTTGTTTACCTTCCCGTGTTCTTTAAACTGCGACTGATGAATATTTATGACTATTTGAAGGAAAGATTTGACACGAAAACAAGAATTTTGGCGGTTGTGTATTACATGATTGCTGAGATTCTTGTATTTCCAGTGTATGTGTACACTTCATCTTTGACGTTAGCTACTGGTAAAGAATGGGTTAGATTTGATTAAAACTGACATTGTCGTTTCAGCTAGTGGTTTTAATGTAAATTTGATCGCTTTTATTTTATCTGCTGTCTGTGTCTTCTACACTTCAGTAGGTGGTTTTAGAACCGTGATTTGGACAGACTTTTTTCAGTTTGGTATAATAATGGCTTCTTTTATCACCGTGTATGTGGTTGCTCTTGGAATATGTGGCGGATTTTTACCCGTGTGGAACACAGCAATAGCTGGAGAAAGACTACAAGTTTTTAAGTAATCATTACCTCTAGGGTTGATGACTACGTAAACGTGTTATTATAGTTTCGATGTGGATCCTATAGTAAGAGATAGCTTCTGGGCTAATTGCATCGGTGGAGGAGCCTTCTTTGCCGCCTACGTAGTCGTACGTCAATCTGGTGCCCAAAAATTCCTAACTTTGGCGAAATTTACAGACATCAAATGGTCTATTATACACACTGTAATTAATATGTCAGTGGTCCACACTTTGTGTGTTTTCGTTGGTTTAGCGGTTTACGCCAAATACAAAGAGTGTGACCCTTTGGCTAGTCACATGATTTCAAAATATGACCAAATTTTCCCGTACTTTGTAACTGAAATCGGTGCCAGCGTGCCAGGAATCTCTGGTCTCTTTATAGCAGCTATTTGGAGTGCAGCCTTAAGGTAATTGTGTCTTTCACTGCGTATTACACTACTATCTCTCTTACAGCTCAATGTCTTCAAACTTGAACGCTGTCTCTGGTGTTATATACAAAGACGTTGTGTATTTATTTTTCAAGAAACAACCTTCCGACAATAGTAGCAGTGCTATTTTGAAAGTAATAGTTCTAGTTGTTGGAACCTTGTGTACTTGCTTGGTGTTTATAGTAGAATTATTGGGAGACATACTTTCTCTTGCTGCATTAGCAGTAAGTCTTACACAAGGACCGATATTAGGAGTTTTCACACTAGGAATTTTCTTTCCAAAGGCAAACCCAAAGGTATAAATTCATTAAAATTTGTTTGAACCCACTGACGTTGTTTTAAAGGGGGGCTTCTATGGTATGCTTGGAGGTTTGATGGCTGCTCTTTGTCTTACACTTCCTACCAAGTATTACGAACTGAGTGGTTTGATAAAGTATCCTATGAAACCCCTCTCAATAGATGGTTGTGCTGGGTTTAACCAAACGTTAACCGCTGCAAATTTTACTTCCTTGTAATACGGAGGTTTGCTTTGTATGACTGACTTGTTTTTGTCGTTTTTCAGAAATGGTACCGTTTCATTCCAACCCCCTTCCGTTTTTAAAATTTCGTTTTACTATTACACGTTTTTCGGAGCCACAATGACCATCGTGTTTGGATTAATTATTAGCTAAGCATGTCAAAGAGTAGTTCCTCAGTTGACAGAAAACTGCTAAGTCCGTTGATTTACAAGTATATGCATGAAGAATGTCCAGACGAAGAAAAGGTGGCTTGTGTTAGCGTAAACAAAACAATACAAATTCGTGATTAGAATTGATTTCATATTTTATAATTTCCTTTTGCTATTTTAGTGCAGTGTTCCCCAATGTATAGCGATTCTACGTCAAAATCAACCGATGCCAGTTTTATACCTGATTGAAGCATATTTCTGTATCAGTAGTAGATATGGTTTACGATTTAAAATATAATTTATATACTTACTGGGCGGACATTTGTTAAAAAAGTACATAACATTGAACAAACAGTTTTATTTTTAAACCCATAAATCTTTACAAAAATGCAAATCTAATAAATTCACTTACGTAGACCCCTTTCTGCAAAAATTATGAAATGTATATGATAACTTGGTTACGGTCCTGACTACGATAAGCAGAACACGCTCCGAAATCCAAACTCGAAAATCGAGAGATATCGAGCGTCAAAAGCGAAGGACAAGTAGTAGAAAACAAAGAAGTGAAGTGGAATAAGAGTAAGAAGCACCAAGAAGATCTTATCGCGGCACGAAGTAAACAACATAGGAACGTACTTGATACACAGGAAGCAAGAAAGTCGGCCAGGGAATGCTAAACGGGAATCCTGAACCGGAAAAAGGACACAAACTAGCAATAGAAGAACAAGACAACCAGAAACGAAAAAGAGAAACCTCCTTTTCACCATCACCGGAAGGTCAAAGAGTACAGAGGAAGCAGAAGAGGGTACAAGCAGGAGACATGGACGAAGTAAAGGATATGTTCAAAACGTTAATGGAGGAAATCGCAGAAATGAAAAGAGACCAATGAGCATACCAAACAGAAGTAACAACACTAAGAGAAAAAAACCAAAGACTGACCGAAAGATTAGAAAGAGTGGAGCAACACTTCGAAAAACTGGAAAAAGCAGAAAGAAGAAACAACATCGTAATCAAAGAAGGGAAACTACAAGGAAGCGAAATAACAGCAGAGGTTGAAGAACTCCTAAAAAATAAGGTAGGAATCCAAACTAAGATACAAGACGCATGATTAGTCAGCGAAAAATACGACATAGTAGTAGCAAAGATAGAGAACTGAGACACAAAAAGAGCAATCATGAAACAGAAGAACAAATTAAAAGGATCAAAAACGTTTATTGAAGACGATTACACCAAACAAGAGAGCGAGATACAGAAGAAAATAAGAGGAATAGCAGCAGCAGAAAAAGTTAAAGAAGTCGAGGCAAAAGTAGGGTACAAAAAGATGATATGGGCAGGAGAAGTCTGGCATTGGGACACTAAATTAGACAAATTAGTGAAAGCACCGTCGCACCCCAAAGAAAATCCAAAAAACTAATAGAGGAAGAAACCACACACCGGAAAACAATGACGACGTATGCAAAGCTCATGGATGACCCGATAGGAATTACGAAGAGAAAGAAAAACCCGAAAATTAGAATAGAAACATGGAATGTTCGAGGAACATATAGCGAAGGAAAACTGAAACAAATAGTTCAAGAATTACAAAGGTATAATATAGATGTAGCAGCTATACAAGACGAAACAAAAAGGCAAATTCATTACTGAAATAGACAACTACAACTACATATTATTTAATAGCGGAATTGACAACAGAGAACTAGGAACAGGATTCATGGTGAAGAAGAGCCTGAAAGGAGCAGTAATTACCTTCAAACCAATCTCAGAAAAATGAGCTATATAAGATTGAGAAGTAAGTACAGGAAAATAAGCCTACTGAATATACATGCACCGACTGAAGAGAAAGATCTAGAAGTAAAAACAGAATATTACGAAGAACTAGAAAGAGAATATGTGAAAATACCAAAGCATGACATTAAAATGGTTATAGGAGACGCCGACGCAATGATAGGTAAAGAGAATTGCTACAGGCCAACAATCGGGAAAGAAAGCAAACACCAAAAAACGAATCAAAATGGAGAAAAACTGATAGAGTTTGCAGAAGAAAATAAAATGGTAGTCAAAAGCACCTTCTTTGCTCAGAAAGAGATCTACAAAGGCACGTGGATGTCGCCTGACGGAAAAACGGTCAACCAAATAGACCACATACTGGTAGAAAGGAGAGATGCCCAACTAATAACCAGATTAAGAAGCTACAGGGGAGCAGAAGCGAATTCAGACCACTTTCTAGTAAGAGCAGACCTCAAACAAGAAATACCGAAGAAAAAAGAAGGAAAGAAGACGCAACGTGATATAAATGTAAACAAACTTAAGAAAGCTGAAGTACAACAGGAATACGAACAAAAGATGAATGAGAGAATAAGATCAACAGAGCAAGACATACCTATAGAAGAGAGGTGGGAAGAACTACAAGAGAACGTATGGAAGACCTCGGAAGAAGTACTAGGGTTCGTCAAAAAAGACAACAAAAATAGAAACGAATGGTTTGACGAGGAATGTTGAAAAGCAATAGAAGCGGTGAGGTCAGCCAGACAGAAATATCTAAAATCAAAAAATGAGAAGAACCAAAAAGATTACCAAGAAAAAAGGAAAGAGTACAAGAAGATATGCAGAAATAAGAAACGAGCAAAGATGGAAGAACAAATACGACAAATAGAAGAAAACTTCAACAAGAATGAAATAAGGAACTTCTACCAGGACGTGAAAAAAGAGAAAAGAGGCTATCAACCACGAGTAATATATTGTAAAGACAAGGACGGCAACATGATAGGAGACGAACAATCAAGAATAAAACGATGGGCAGAATACTTTGAAGAGCTGCTAAACGAACAGGATACACAGCAAGATAGGAACGAAAGAGTGAACGACTCGGATGACCCAGATGAAACAATAGAAATTGACGAAGGAGAGATTAGAGAAACACTAAGGCAGATGAAAAACAACAAAAGTCCTGGTAGAAACGGAATAAAGGGCGAGATGCCAAAGTACGGAGGAGAAGCAGTAGCATCAGAGATACATCGACTAGTGCTAGAATGTTGGAAGGAAGGAAAAATGCCAGAACAATGGAGTGAAGCAGTAGTTTGCCCGATATTTAAAAAAGGAGATATTACGAAATGCGAAAATTATCGCCGAATAGCGCTGCTAGACGTAACGTATAAGGTAATGGCCACTTGTATCAACCGAAGACTAAAGCAGCATATGGAAAAAATAGTAGGAGAATATCAAGCAGGCTTTAGGAAAAATAGATCTACCGTAGACCAGATATTTATATTGAAGCAACTACAAGAAGTACATTACGAACAGGGAATCAACTTATATCTGCTGTTCATAGACTTTAAAAAAGCCTATGACACGGTTAACAGGAAAGAACTGCTAGAAGCCATGCAAGAACTGGGAGTCCCAAGAAAACTAATAAAACTGACAAAGATGACCCTGCAGAGCACCAGAAACAGAGTCAGGATAAATGGTCTGTTGTCAGTACCATTCCAAGTAAGAACAGGACTCCGGCAAGGAGATCCAATATCAACTACCCTGTTCAATCTAGTACTCGAAGCAATAATAAGGAGAAGTGGCATCCACAGAACGAGCACGATATACGAAAAATGACACTAAAATATAGCCTTTGCAGATGACGTGACATGTATAACGAGAACAGAAGCAGAAATGAAGAAAATGACAAAAAATCTAATCAGAGAAGCGAAACGAATGGGTTTAGCGATCAACCAAGAGAAAACGAAGTTTATGAAGATGGAAACAAAATCAACCCCAGCAAAACCACTGAAAGTAACTACAGAAGAAGGAACAACATACGAATTCGAAGAAGTAAATAGGTTCAAATATCTAGGAGTAGTAATTACAAACAAAAACGAAATGAATGAAGAAATAGAAGAACGGGTCGCGAAAGCAAACAAGAGTGTAGGAAGATTAAACAGATTTCTGAGGAGTAAGAATGTAACACGACGAACAAAGAAACAAGTATATAAGACAATAGTAAGACCTACAGTCCTGTACGCTAGTGAAACATGGACGCTAACGAACGAAAAGGAACAGAAGTTGGAAGTATGGTAACGCAAGATACTACGAAAGATATATGGAGGTATAAAAGAACTAGACCAATGGAGAAGAAGAACAAACCGAGAGATCGAGGAAATATACGGAGAACCAACAATCACGAAGATAATCAGAGCAGAGAGACTAAGATGGCTAGGCCACGTCGGAAGAGCACCAGAGGAAAGGACAATTGGGAAAGTATTAGACCGCCTAAAAGGAGGAAAGAAAAAGAGAGGAAGGCCAAAACTGAAGTGGATAGACGATGTTCGAAAAGATCTTCAAAACTTTGGCATTGAAGATTGGAGATCCAAAGCAGCCGACAGGAACAAATGGAAAATTATTGTAAAAAAAGCCCAGGGCCTTTAAGGCCTGCAGAGCTGAATTATATATTATACATATGATAACTTAGGGAAAACCATTCAGAACTTTAGATACCGCAGAACTAAAGATTAGTTAGTGAATTTGTCATTTTCGTATACTGTTACGTTTGACGGGCAAATAATTTATCGGGCGTAGGTAAAAACTCAACGATTTATTTCTTTAACTCGAATTACACTACTAACTATTGCAATGAATATGTACAGAAATTATTCCGGCGAATTTCACTGGACGCTCTTGACTGTCTCCACTGGCTGAATAATCCGTTCCCGACGGTCGCCTCTATTTAAACCCATACTTCTCCGATCGAGATCCTTCTCGAGTATCCATCGCGACTCCGCTTCGAGACTTCCGGTAACCGGCTCCAGACTTGTCTTTATGCGGCCGCCGCTAAGCCGTCGATGAGTCACCGTTCATCGATACGCATACTAGAAAAACTCATAGGCGTCGCGCCGGGGAGGTTATGGTTTTATTTCGTAACAATACTATAGTAGATAGATTTCGTTACCCATTAGAATCTTTCATAATGCAGAATTGCAGCCGTTATGTAAGTCATTGTAATAAAAAAACCGTGATTAAAGTAGTGTACATTGCTATCTACAAATATACATTTAATTCAAGGTTTCTGCAAATACAACTTCCATAGAAATTACTAATTTGTGTTTTAATTTCTTGCATTTATTTGGTTCCGTACAACTGGCATATTTGGACGATAACCATGACGCCTAATACGTCTTCTGCGATCACTTTGAGCTGGTACGATTACGCTATTTTTGTAGGTACTTTACTTTTTAGTACTTTGATCGGAATCTACTACGGATGTTTTGGAACTAAACAAAGAACCACCAGAGAGTATCTCATGGGCGGAAAAACCATGAAAATCGTTCCCATAGCAATATCGGTAGCAGTGAGGTGAGTTCCCCACAAAATTTTCAGTCGTCACAATTCGGAAATTTTAGTCATATTGCTGGAGCCATGCTACTAGGAACAGCGGCAGAAGTGTTCAGATACGGAGGTAGCGTCTGGTTAGTTATTGTTTCGCTAATAGTTATGGGGTTTCTAACAAATTTCGTTTATCTTCCTGTGTTTTTTAAACTGCGCTTGAAAAACATTTACGACTACTTGGAGCAAAGATTCGACAAGAAAACAAGAACGTTGGCAATCGTGTTTTACATGATTACTGAGATACTTTTATTCCCAGTGCATGCGTATTGTCCATCTTTAACATTTGCCACTGGTAAAGAATCAGTTAGATATTTTTTTGATTGACACTGTAATTTCAGCTAGTGGATTTAATATAAACCTGGTTGCTTTTTTCTTGTGCGCTATCTGCGTATTTTACACTTCAATAGGTGGTTTTAAAACCGTAATTTGGACGGATTTTTTTCAGTTTGCTATAATTGTAACATCATTTATCAGTGTCTATGCACTTGGTCTTAGAACATCAGGGGGATTCTTGTCGGTGTGGAATACAGCTGTAGCTGGACAAAGACTACAAGTTTTTAAGTAATCATAATTTGTGATATTGACGATTGTGTAGAAATGTGTTGTAGTTTCAATATTGATCCTACAGGAAGAGATAGCTTCTGGGGATACTTTTTAGGTGGAGGATGCTCCTTTACGGCTTACGTAGCCACACGTCAAACCGGTGCTCAAAAATTTCTAACTTTAGGAAAATCTACAGATCTCAAATGGTCAGTTATATATACCGTAATTAGTATTTCTGTGGTCCACACTTTGTGCGTTTTCGTTGGCTTAGTGGTCTATGGCAAGTACAAAGATTGTGACCCTCTGACTAGTCACATGATCTCAAAACATGACCAAATTTTTCCGTATTTTGTAACTGAGATTGGTGCCAACGTACCTGGAATCTCGGGTCTCTTTATAGCAGCCATTTGTAGTGGATCACTAAGGTACATCTTCTCTTTCAGTAAGCGTAACACTAAACTCTATATTATAGCTCAATGTCTTCAAACTTAAACGCCCTCTCTGGTGTTATCTATAAGGACGTTTTGTACTTTTTCTTCAAGAAAGAACTTTCTGATAAAAGTGGTAGTGGCAATTTAAAAGTAATAGTCTTTGTTGTTGGAACCTTGTGTACTTGTTTAGTGTTTACAATAGGACTGTTGGGAGAAATATTTTCTATTAGTTTGTTGGTGATAGGTCTTACACAAGGACCGCTATTGGGGTTGTTTACCCTAGGAATTCTCTTTCCAAAAGCAAATGCGAAGGTATAAAGTTATTGAACGTGTTTAAATCAATAATAATGTTTTAAAGGGAGCGTTTTATGGTACTTTGGGAGGTTTTATTTCTATCGTAAGTCTGGCACTTCCCGCTAAATTTTACGAAATACGAGGCTTCATAAAATATCCAACGAAACCCCTCTCTGTCATTGGTTGTGCTCTGTCCAATCAAACCTTAACTGAGACAAGTCTTACTACCTTTAACAGCACTATATTGTAAGAACTAAATTTTCTGTGAATCACTTAGTTTGAATTTGTTTCAGAAATGATAGTGTTTCGTTCCAACCCCCTTCCATTTTTAAGATTGTGTTTTACTATTATCCACTGTTAGGAGCCATCATGACTATCATTTTCGGATTAATTATTAGCTATATGTCAAAAAGTGATTCTTCAGTTGACAGAAAACTGCTAAGTCCCTTGATATATAACTGCTTACCTGAAGAATGTCGAGACGAAGAGAAGATGTCATGCGTACAAGAAACATCACAAGTTTGTGGCTAGAAGTTGACTTTTACTTATTGTTATTGTCTTAAAGCTGTATCTTAATTTGCATTTTTGTCTAGTGCTAAGATTGCATTTTTGCGTGTACCTGTCGTCCACAACTTGGTGATTATAATTAGATAAGTATAATATACTGCACCGTTTATATTTTACAATTCTCGCAACATTATCGACTTTGGTTAAACTCAAGGTTTATACGGCGCTTGTCATAAAACTAGGGTCTATAAAGACTAGCGCTTCACTCCGCTTCTGTGCACCGCCTAGAATGACGCCTCCACCATCCGCTTTAGGGTGCTACGACTACGTTATATTCGCAAGTACTTTAATTTTCAGTACTTTAATCGGAATTTACTATGGATGCTTTGGCACTAAACAAGCAACAACGAAAGAGTACCTCATGGGAGGAAAAACCATGAAAATCCTTCCCATAGCAGTATCCGTAGCAGTGAGGTGAGTTCCCCACAAAATTTTCAAAGCACCACATTTCCAAAAATTTTAGTCATATTTCTGGAACTATGCTACTAGCAACTGTAGCCGATGTTTTCAGATACGGGGCTAGTGTGTGGTTACTGGTTGCAGCTTTCACACTAATGGGTTTTCTAGCAATTTTTGTGTATCTTCCCGTCTTCTTCAAACTACAAGTCAATAACATTTACGACTATCTCGAAAAAAGATTTGATAGGAAAACTAGAATTTTAGCTGTCCTGTTTTATATTCTGTCTGAGATTCTTATGTTTCCGGTTTTCGCCTACACTCCATCACTCACTATTGCCACTGGTAAGAAATTAGTGAAGACTTTTTGCTGTAATAATGGATCGATGGTTTCAGCTAGTGGTGTCAACGTATCACTAGTTGCCTTCATCTTATGTGTTATCTGTATTTTCTACACTTCAGTCGGGGGTTTTAGAACCGTAGTTTGGACCGATTTTCTTCAATTCGGAGTCATAATGGCGGCTCTTGTCTGTATATACGTAACCGGTCTTGGATCATCCGGCGGATTCGTATCCGTTTGGAACACAGCACTATCAGGCGACAGGCTACAAATTTTCAACTTTCGTGTTGACCCTACAGCCAGAGATAGTTTCTGGGGTTATCTTTTAGGTTCGGGGGCGGTTTCCACAGCTGTAGTAATCGTGCATCAAACTGGAGCCCAAAAATTTTTAACTTTATCTAAATATACAGATTGCAGGTGGTCAGTAGTTCACACTGTAGTCAGTATGTCGCTAGTGCACACCTTCTGCATCTTCATTGGTTTACTGGTTTATGCCAAGTACAAAGACTGCGACCCTTTGACTGGTCACTTGGTGTTAAAACATGATCAAATTTTCCCATACTTTGTAACTGAGGTTGGTTCAAATTTTCCAGGTCTGGTCGGGCTTTTCATTGCAGCGATTTGTAGCGCTTCGTTAAGGTACTTTTTAGTATGTAATAGGTACAATAGTAAAATTTGTTATAGTTCGATGTCGTCAAACTTAAACGCCTTAGCTGGTGTTTTATACAAAGACATCGCTTGCTTCGTTCTAAAGAAACAATCTACAGATTTTAACAACAGTGGCAGTGGAATTTTGAAAGTAATAGTTTTGGTTGTTGGAGCGTTGTGTACTTGTTTGGTGTTTGTAGTGGAACGGCTGGGAGAAGTACTTTCTATTAGTTTAATGGTAACTGGGCTTACGCAAGGACCAGTATTGGGGGTATTCACACTAGGAATTCTCTTTCCTAAAGCAAACTCCAAGGTTTGAAATAATCAAAAGTACTTTGGATTAATAACTTTATTTTGAAGGGTGCCTTCTATGGTACTATTGGAGGTTTTATTGCTATTTCGTGTCTCGCGATTCCCGCCAGATATTACCAAATGAAAGGTTTAATAAAATATTCCACGAAACCTCTATCAACCAGTGGTTGTATTGTTTCTAACCAGACTTTAGCTGGAAGTGATTTTTCTTTGAATAGTACTGTTTTGTAAGAATTATGTATAGGTATTGTCTGTATAAAAACTTTGTTTTTCAGGGATCAAGCAATGTTGGTACAACCTAGCTCTATTTTTAAGATAACGTTTTTCCACTACACGTTGTTTGGAGCTATCCTGACTGTTATTCTCGGGTTACTTATAAGCTATATGTCAAAGAGCGATGTTGCAGTTGACAAGAGTCTACTAAGTCCTGTTACATACAATTGTTTATCTAGAAAATACACCAACAAAAGGATCGCGGTCTACAGTAGTATAGATAGCGCCGTTCAAGGTTTTGATTAGATAAAGTTTAAAGAATAATTTATGAACATAAGCGGGCATTTGATAAAAAAATACATAACATATAACATACTGACAGTTTTATTTGTAAACCTATAAATCCTCACAAAAATACGAATATAATAATAAATCTTCGCCGATTGTTGAGTCATTATCTTCCGTTTTTCCGTAAAATAGTCACCTTTCACCAGTATGTAAAACAAATGGAACTGCAGCTCGTTTTAGTAAATAATAACTTAGGGAAAACCATCCAGAATTTTAGTTATATTGCAACTACAAACTTAAAATATTAAATGCGTTTATATCAAATGTTGCGTAACAACAGAAACGTAGCCTTTTCGTATTTAATGTATCGTAAACACTTGCACTATAAAAGACCTGATTAAAATAAAGTGCATTGCTATCTAAATATATTCAGTTCATTCAAGGTTTCTACTTGTTCAACTTTCATATAAATTACTAATTTGTGTTTATATTTAGTTTGCGTTACTTCCATTCAGTAAAATTGGTAGATTTGGACGGTAACCATGATGCCGTCTCCACCGATCACTCTGAGCTGGTTCGATTACACCATATTTGCAGGTACTTTAGTTTTCAGTACTTTGATCGGAATCTACTACGGTTGTTTTGGAAGTAAACAAGGAACAACCAGGGAGTACCTCATGGGAGGAAAAACCATGAAAATTATTCCCATAGGGATATCAGTAGCAGTGAGGTGAGTTCGTCACAAAATTTTCAATCGTCACGATCTGGAAAATTTTAGTCATATTGCTGGGGCTGTGCTAGTAGGAACAGCAGCAGATGTTTTCAGATACGGAGCCAGCATTTGGTTATGTGTCGTTTCGGTAATAGTAATGGGGCTTCTAACAAATTTTGTTTACCTTCCTGTGTTCTTTAAACTGCGTTTGAGGAACGTTTACGACTATTTGGAGAAAAGATTTGACAAGAAAACAAGAATGTTGGCAATTATATTTTACACGATTGGTGAAATACTTTTATTCCCAGTGCATGCGTATTCTCCATCTTTAACTTTTGCCACTGGTAAAGAGTCTGTGAGATTTTTCATTTAAACTAATACAGTACTTTCAGCTAGTGGTTTTAATGTAAATCTCGTAGCTTTTATTCTGTGTGCTATTTGCGTATTTTACACTTCAATTGGGGGTTTCAAAACCGTAATTTGGACCGATATTTTTCAGTTTGTAATAATAGTGGCATCTTTTATCTGTATTTACGTACTAGGTCTTAGAAAATCAGAGGGATTCTTGTCGGTGTGGAATACAGCTGTAGCTGGACAAAGACTAGAAGTTTTCAAGTAATCATTATTTGTAGTATTGATAACTATGTGAAAATGTGTTGTAGTTTCGATATAAATCCTACAGTAAGAGATAGCTTCTGGGGATACTTAATAGGTGTAGCATCGTCCTTTACGGCCTACGTATCCGTGCGTCAAACCGGCGTTCAAAAATTTTTAACTTTAGGAAAATCTACAGATCTCAAATGGTCAGTTATTTACACCGTCATTAGTATGTCAGCGATTCACACTTTGTGCATTTTCGTTGGCTTAGTGGTTTATGCCAAGTATAAAGACTGTGACCCACTCACTAGTCACATGATCTCAAAACATGACCAAATTTTTCCTTACTTTGTAACTGAGATTGGTGCCAGCGTACCAGGAATCTCGGGTCTCTTTATAGCAGCGGTTTGTAGTGGATCGCTAAGGTACATCTTCTCTTTCACTATGCGTTAGAATAACATCTGTGTTATAGTTCAATGTCTGCAAACTTGAACGCTCTCTCTGGTGTTATCTATAAAGACATTGTGTACTTTTTCCTCAAGAAACAACTCTCTGACAAAAGTAGTAGTGGTATTTTGAAAGTGATAGTTCTTGCTGTTGGTACCTTGTGTACTTGTTTAGTGTTTACAATAGGACTATTGGGAGAAATACTTTCGATTAGTTTAGTAGTAGCAAGTCTTACACATGGACCGTTGTTGGGGTTGTTTACACTAGGAATTCTCTTCCCCATGGCAAACTCAAAGGTACAAATCCATCAAAACGTGTTTTAAAGCAATAACAGTGTTTTAAAGGGAGCCTTTTTTGGTTCGCTAGGAGGATTTGTTTGTGTTGGAATTTTAGCAATTCCAGCCAAATTTTACGAAATGAGAGGGTTCATAAAATATCCTACGAAACCCCTGTCTATAAGTGGTTGCTCTGTGTTCAACCAGACGTTAACTGGGACAAACTTCGCATCTTTTAACACCACTGCATTGTAATAATCAAATTTTCTGTTTAACAACTTACTTTTTTTGATTTTTTTTCAGAAATGATTCCGTTACATTCCAACCCCCCTCCATTTTTAAGATTACGTTTTTCTACTATACATTCTTTGGAGCCGTCATGACCATAATTTTCGGATTAATTATCAGCTATATGTCAAAGAGGGATTCTTCAGTTGACAGAACACTGCTAAGTCCCTTGATATATAAGTGCCTGCCTGAAGATTGTCGAGAGGAAGAGAAGATGTCATGCGTTAGCTTACAAGACCCATCAGAAATTCGTCCTTAAAGATTAATTTTACTTTGTAGAATTTTCTCTTTCCTATTGATAAATTTGATGTTTTAGTAAGTGTTACCCAATTTGAGTAGGTCTCATGATTAATTTCCTAGAAACAGATAATGTAATTGTTTTCTAGTAAGGTTTCTGTTGTACCTAAAAGTATATAAAAAATATATAATTACTACTGTCATGGAACTATCTTCTTTGACATTTTTCACTTGGTGCCAAAATGTATGATTTTAAATTTTTAGCATTTTTAAGTTCATCATGACGTTTTATAACTCAGAGAATACAAACATACAGATTTTACGTTTCGGTCTGTCTCATCCATCATATGAACCGTAGACGAATTCTCTACATTAGTGTCTAATACAGAGATATAGCCTTTTAGAATAATAAAGTACCTATTGCTGTCTAAATATACAGGGTGATTCACGAATAGCGTCCCCTCTAATAGTTTCACACTGCTCGATGTTGGAGCAGTGTTTGCAGTTCTTACACGGTCTTCTGTTCTCTACTCTTGCCTAGCCACTTGTCCTCCGAAACTACGTGATCGGTTCTAATCAGGAATTCGCATCCATAGAGATACTTCTGGAACTGTACAACAGCCAGCAAGTCCTTCGTCGTAGCACAGTAGTTCTTCTCGGGTTTCGAAAGTACGCTGCTGAAGGACTCAATGACTTTTTCTTCCAGCTGTGACAAGACGGCACCTATTTCGATGTTGCTCGCGTCCGTGTCCAAGACTGACATTCACGATGATTGAGAATAGGACAGAATAAGACTAGAGCATAGTGCGTTCTTCAATCTTTTAAAGGCTGCTTCACATTCAGCAGTCCAATTAAACTGAGCCTTCAAATCCGTCAGCCGGTGCAGAGGAGCAGCAACAGCAGCAAACCCGTTGACAAACCTTCTGTAGTAAGTGCACAATCCCAAGAACCTCCGGACTTCGTGTTTATTTCTTGGTCTTGGAAAATCGCGAATCGCATTGATCGTTTTTCCCGTAGTCTTAATCCAGTTTGCCGAAACAGTATGCTCCAGAAATTCTAGGAGGAATTTCGTCGGATTCAGCTTCAAGCTTGCCTTCTTCATTTGGCTAAATACTTCTTCTAGGTTGGTCAAGTGCCCCTCAAATGTCTTTCCGATTACCATGATGTCGCCTAAATAAACCAAACATGTGTTCCATGTTAGTCCTCGTAGTACCATCTCCATTAGTCTCTCAAAAGTAGCCGGAGCATTACACAGTTCAAAAGGCATAACTGTAACAGTCTTTTCCTTAGCTTCTGGGTGAATACCAACTTGCCAGTAGCCGCTTTTTATATCTAACTTGGAAAGCCAGGAGGATCCTGATAATGTTGTTAGCGTGTCATCAATTCTTGGAAGAGGGTAACTGTCTTTTTTGAGTACATCGTTTACGTAGAATCGCGTCGACCCATCCTTCAGGCGTTTTATGTACATAATAAGTGAACTTTTGATAAAAAAATACATATAACACACTGACAGTTTTATTTGTACAGCTATAAATCCTCACAAAAGTCCAAATACAATAAATTTTACTTCCGATTGTTGACGCAGTCTTCCGTCTTTACGTCAACCTTCGACAAAGTTAAGTCGTCACTTTTGTCGTTCCCGGATCCGTACTCGTCGCGTTCCTTCACCAGGAAACAAATTGAACTGCGTCCCGTTTTAGTAAATAATAACTTAGGGAAAAACCTCCAGAATCTTAGATATATTGCAACCAAAAACAGTTAATCCTGAATATGTGAATTTGTTATTGTTGGCTACACGAACCTAATAACTTGAATCAAAGGTTGCGTAAAACAGAAACGTAACCTTTTCGATTATGCATCGTAAATAATTGCACCATAAAAGACCTGACTAAAATAAAGTGCATTGCTATCTAAATATATTCAGTTAATTCAAGGTTTCTACTTGTTCAACTTCCACAGAAATTACTAATTTGTGTTTGTATTTTGTTTGCATTCCTTCCATTCAGTAGAACTGGTAGATTTGGACGCTAACCATGACGCCGTCTTCACCGATCACTCTGAGCTGGTTCGATTACACCATATTTGCAGGTACTTTAGTTTTCAGTACTTTGATCGGAATCTACTACGGATGTTTTGGAACTAAACAAGGAACAACCAGAGAGTACCTCATGGGAGGAAAAACCATGAAAATCATTCCCATAGGAATATCAGTGGCAGTGAGGTGAGTTCCCCACAAAAATTCTAGTCGTCACAATTGGGAAAATTTTAGTCATATTGCTGGAACCGTGCTACTAGGAACTGCAGCAGATGTTTTCAGATACGGAGCGAGCATTTGGTTATTTGTTGTGTCGATAATAGTAATGGGGTTACTAACAAATTTTCTTTATCTTCCTGTGTTCTTTGAACTGCGCCTGAGAAACGTTTACGATTATTTAGGAAAAAGATTTGACAAGAAAACAAGAATGTTGGCAATTATATTTTACATGATTGCTGAAATACTTTTATTCCCAGTGCTAGCGTATACTCCATCTTTAACATTTGCCACTGGTAAAGGATTCATGAGATTTTTCATTTAAACTGATACAGTAGTTTTAGCTAGTGGTTTTAATGTAAATCTCGTAGCTTTTATTTTGTGTGCTATTTGTGTATTTTACACCTCAATTGGTGGTTTCAAAACCGTAATTTGGACCGATTTATTTCAGTTTGCCATAATAGTGGCATCTTTTGTCAGTATTTACGTACTAGGTCTTACAAACTCAAAGGGATTCGTGTCGGTGTGGAATACAGCTTTAGCTGGAGAGAGACTACAAGTTTTTAAGTAATGATTATGATACTTGGATAGTGGTGATGACTGTGTGAAAATGTATTGTAGTTTCGATATTGATCCCACAGTAAGAGATGGCTTCTGGGGATACTTTCTAGGTGCAGGGTCAACCTTTACGGCCTACGTAGCCGTACGTCAAACCGGCGTTCAAAAATTTTTAACTTTAGGAAAATCTACAGATCTCAAATGGTCACCGTAATTAGTATGTCAGTGATTCACACTTTGTGCGTTTTCGTTGGCTTAGTGGTTTTTGTCAAGTACAAATACTGTGACCCACTCACTAGTCACATGATCTCAAAACATGACCAAATTTTTCCTTATTTTGTAACTGAGATTGGTGCCAGCGTACCAGGAATCTCGGGTCTCTTTATAGCAGCCATTTGTAGTGGATCACTAAGGTAGATCTTCTCTTTCACTATGCGTTATAATAACATCTATGTTATAGTTCAATGTCTGCAAACTTAAACGCTCTCTCTGGTGTTATTTATAAAGACATTGTGTACTTTTTCCTCAAGAAAAAACTCTCTGACAAAAGTGGTAGTGGTATTTTAAAAGTGATAGTCCTTGCTGTTGGAACCTTGAGTACTGGCTTAGTGTTTACAATAGGACTATTGGGAGAAATAATTTCGGTTAGTATATTAGTAGCAAGTCTTTCACTTGGACCGTTGTTGGGGTTGTTTACACTAGGAGTTCTCTTCCCCAAGGCGAACTCAAAGGTATAAAACTATCAAAACGTGTTTTAAAGCAATAACAGTGTTTTAAAGGGAGCTTTTTATGGTAGTCTAGGAGGTTTTGTTGCTGTTGGAATTTTAGCAATTCCGGCCAAATTTTACGAAATGAGAGGTTTCCTAAAATATCCTACGAAACCCCTGTCTATAAGTAGTTGCTCTCTGTTCAACCAGACGTTAACTGAGACAAATTTCGCATCTTTTAACACCCCTGCATTGTAATATTTAAGTTTTCTGTTAACCACTTATTTATTTTAATTATTTTTCAGAAATGATTCCGTTACATTCCAACCCCCCTCCTTTTTTAAGATTTCGTTTTTCTACTATACATTCTTTGGAGCCGTGATGACTATAATTTTCGGATTGATCATCAGTTGTATGTCAAAGAGTGATATTTTAGTTGACAGAAAACTGCTGAGTCCCTTGATATATAAGTGCTTGCCTAAAGAATGTCGAGAAGAGGAGAAGATGGCATGCGTTAGCCTACAAAACTCATCAGAAATTCGTGCTTAGGGGTTGATTTGACTTGGTATTTATAAAAAATATATTACTGTTGTCATGAAACTATATCTTCTTTGACCTTCTTCACCTAATGTCAAAATGTTTGGTTTTAAATTTTGGGCATGTTTGAGTGCACTATGACGTTTTATAACTCAGAGAGTACGAGTATACACATTTCACCTTTCGATCTCTCTCATTCATCATACGAATAATCTAGACTAGTGTATATTAAATTGTCTGATACAGAAATATAGCCTTTTAGAATGTTATTACAATAAAGTAACATTGCTATCTAAATATATACATGTTGTGCGAGGTTTTTACATATTTAACATGCATAAAATTACTAATACGAGCTTACAGTCTGTTTAGTAAAACTGGTAGATTTAGGCCAAAACCATGACACCTAATACGTCTTCATCGATCACTTTAAGGTGGTTTGATTACACTATATTTGCAGGTACTTTAGTTTTAAGTACCTTAATAGGAATCTACTACGGATGCTTTGGAACTAAACAAGGCACCACCAGAGAGTACCTCATGGGAGGAAAAACCATGAAAATCATTCCCATAGCGATATCAGTAGCAGTCAGGTGAGTTCAACACAAAATTTTCAAATTGTCATAATTCAGTAAATTTTAGTCATATTGCTGGAGTCATGTTACTAGGAACAGCAGCAGATGTTTTCAGATACGGAGCTAGCATTTGGTTATTTGTCGTTTCGATAATAGTAATGGGTTTTCTAACAAATTTTCTTTACCTTCCGGTGTTCTTTAAACTGCGTCTGAGAAACATTTACAACTATTTGGAGAAAAGATTTGACAAGAGAACAAGAACGTTGGCAATTGTGTTTTACGTGATTTCTGAGATACTGTTATTCCCAGTGCATGCTTATTCTCCATCTTTAACATTTGCCACTGGTAAAGAATCCGTTAGATTTTTCATTTAGACTGATAAATTAGTTTCAGCTAGTGGTTTTAATGTCAATCTCGTAGCTTTTATTTTGTGTGCCATTTGCGTGTTTTACACTTCTATTGGTGGTTTCAACACCGTGATTTGGACGGATCTTTTACAGTTTACCATAATAGTGGCATCTTTTATCTGCATTTACGTAATAGGTCTTGGGAAATCAGAGGGGTTCGTATCCGTATGGAATACAGCTGTAGCTGGACAAAGACTACAAGTGTTTAAGTAATCATTATTTATAGTGTTGTTGATTGTGTAGAAATGTGTTGTAGTTTTGATATTGATCCCACAGTAAGAGACAGCTTCTGGGGATATTTAATAGGTTTTGGATCCTCTTTTACAGCCTACGTAGCCATGCGTCAAACCGGTATTCAAAAATTTTTAACTTTAGGAAAATCTACAGATCTCAAGTGGTCCGTTTTATGCACTGTAATTAGTTTATCAGTGGTCCAGACTTTGTGCGTTTTCGTTGGCTTAGTGGTTTATGCCAAGTACAAAGACTGTGACCCTCTAACTAGTCACATGATCTCAAAACATGACCAAATTTTTCCTTACTTTGTCACTGAGATTGGTGCCAGCGTACCAGGAATCTCGGGTCTCTTTATAGCAGCTATTTGTAGTGGATCACTAAGGTACATTTTCACTTTCAATAGGTGTTACACTAATAATAAGATCTATATTATAGCTCAATGTCCTCAAACTTAAACGCCCTCTCTGGTGTTATCTACAAAGACATTGTGTACTTTTTCCTCAAGAAAAATCTTTCTGACAAAAGTGGTAGTGGTATTTTAAAAGTGATAGTTCTTGTCGTTGGAACCTTGTGTACTTGTTTAGTGTTCATAATAGGACTGTTGGGAGAAATAATTTCGATTAGTTTGTTAGTGTCAGCGCTAACACAAGGACCTTTGTTGGGGTTGTTTACATTAGGAATTCTCTTCCCAAAGGCAAATTCAAAGGTACAAATTGACTAGAACTTATTTTAAGATACTAACAATGTTTTAAAGGGAGCCTTTTATGGTAGTCTAGGAGGTCTTATTGCTGTTGCATTTCTAGCACTTCCGGCCAAATATTACGAAATGAGAGGTTTCATAAAATATCCTACTAAACCCCTGTCTTTAAGTGGTTGTGCGCTGTTTAACCAAACGTCAACTGAGTCAAATTTTACAACTTTTACCACCACTGTACTGTAAGTACTAAGTTTCTGTCAATCACTTATATATTTTTGATTTTTTTCAGAAATGAGACTGTTACATTTCAACCCCCCTCCATTTTTAAGATTACGTTTTTCTATTATACATTCTTTGGAGCCATAATGACTATAATTTTCGGATTAATTATCAGCTACATGTCAAAGAGTGACTTTTTAGTTGACAGAAAACTGCTAAGTCCGTTGATATACAAGTACTTGCCTGAAGAATGTCGACAGGAAGAGAGGATATCATGCGTTAGCTTACAAGACCCATCAGAAATTCAATAAAATATTTTTTACCAAAATTCGTTCGTTATTGTTAATTTATAGCAAAATTCGTTTAAAGTAGACGGAGTCAAATATAGCCTCATAAAAAGCAACATGGTCAATGACCACGTTCTATCGAATGTAAACGAATTGCCTTCGGCAACCCAGACACTCTCACACAGTTAATAATAACTAAGGGAAAACCATCCAGACCTTTAGATTTATCACAACTAGAAAAATGTGAATTTGGCGCATGTTTTAAATCAACAGTTGCATCATTGACCTAGCAGTTATTTAAAGAGTGAAGCAAATTTTGCCAAAATCACCCTCAAATGACATACACAAATGTGCTAAACCTTGGGTCTTAAATAGTATAATAAATTACTAATTCCTGCGTTGCCATACAAGAAAATAATAAGCATTTATTTCTATAGTTGCGTAGATGGTACTTGTGTGAAATAAAGTGATCATTTTACCTTTACAACAAATGAACCGACCAGTGGGTACTAAACCATCTAATACAGAAATGTAGCCTTTTAAAATATTACGTAAATACTGGCAAGATAAAAATCATAATTAAAATAAAGTACTGTGTTATCTAAATATACAGGGTGTCTCAGAAATAAGTACATTAATTTTAACCAGTAACAGAACTCGTGAAACGGAACAACTTTTTTATCTACCATTTTTTCGAAAACTCAAGTCGAATTTCGAATTTTCCCACCCATATATTCACGAGCCGTCTATGTTCACCTTAAATAATAACTTAAATAATAACAACACTACAACAATGAAGAAGGTACCCTAGCAACCGTTTTGACACTGACAATCATTTTTATGTCAATGTTTTTACTAAACGTTGTCTCTTTGAGGTTTGTTTGGCACAGATTTCTAATTTATAGACGAAATGTGTTGACATGGCTTTGTTTTCAAATCTGGAATGCACCGATATCGTTTTAACGTACGGTGAAGCTCGAGGAAACGGCACTCGCGCCCAACGAATTTTTTCAGAAAACCTCCCAAATCGTCGTCTGCCAAATGTGCGCAGTTTTAAGAACGTTGCAGCACTTTCGAGAGTACGGAACTTTTAAACCTGCACCTCAGGATCGGGGTAAGTTACGTAATAATAGAATTGCTAATATTGAAGAGGCTGTTTTGAAGAGTGTCGAAGCTCGACCGGGCACTAGCACGTATCACTGTCTAGTGTGATGTATCGGAGAGTAGTATTTGGAGGATACTCAGAGAACAAATGTACCCCTTTCAGGACCAGAAAGTTCAGTTATTGAAACTAATAGACTTACCACGTAGGCAAAACTTTTGTGAGTAGGTTAATAGAAAAATAAACGAACAAGTAAATTTTGTGTCTCTTATACCATCAACTGATGAGGTCGGTTACACGAGGGAAGGTGTTCAACACCCACATTTGGGCCGATGAAATTCCGTACGCCATTAGGGAGCAGGATTTTCAATTTCTCTCTAAATCTTTGTCACATTGACAAGATTAGGAAAATACGTATCCTAGTAACTGTTTTTGACCATAAATTATTAATTATAATAATTATTAGTATCCATGGGTGACTGAGGATCCATGGGCGGGTAACCTTAATTGGGATATAACTTTAACAATTTTTAACTTGATAATTAAAAAGTTCTTGACAAAACTTTACTAAAAAAAGTTGTTGAGTTCAATGAGCTCTATAACTGATTAAAATTAATGTACTTATTTCTGAGACACCCTGTATATACCTACTTTAACTCAAGGTTTTTGCTTACTCTACTTTTATGTCAAGTTTTTACTTGTCTAACTGTCATACACATTATTAATTTGTGCTTAAATTTCTTTGCATTTAATTTATTCAGTAAAACTGGTAGATTTCAACGATGACTTGACAAGAGTCTCCTAAGTTCTGTTATATACAGCTGCTTATCTAGAAAACACGACAACAAAAGAAACACACACTATAGCAGCATACAAGGCGCCACTCAAGGTTTTGACTAACCATACATTAAAACACAATTTATGTACCCACTCGTTAAAAAATAGACACCACTTAACAAACTGACGGTTTTATTTCCAAACCTATAAATCCTTACAAAAATACAAATCTAAAAAACTCTACGTCGACCCCTCCCTGCTCCCCTCCAACTCATCAATCTCCGCATCCATCACAATATTCGCCACCGCTTTCTTCACCTTAGCAACCGTGCTAGGCGTCAACTGCTTCACCGTCTGGGCGATCCCCTGGAAAAACGCGTCCACGGGATGCATTTCCGCGTAGGCCACTCTACCCCGATTTTTCCTCTCGGCCGCTTGTGTCAGACTGTTCCCCACGTCCTCGCTCTCCTCCTCGAACTCCATATCGGGCTGTGAGTCCCCGGACACGCTTGCACTGAGACTCACACTGTCCTCCGTCTTCACCTCGAATTTCGACAACGGGACGTCGTCCCCTTTGTCGTCCCCGGACCCGTACTCGTCCCGTTCCTTCATCAGGATGTGCGGCAGAAGGAACTGCATCTCGTTTTCGTAAATGTAGGGCCGGACGAGCCCCGTGGCCCCCTGGCGCTTGCGCTGCTGCTTGACGAAGGCGTCCCGGAGGCTCTTCCACTGCATCTTGACTCTGTTCACTGAAAAAGAACGTATCAATACAGTATAAATAGCGTGCTTTTCATGCAAGATAGGCAACCAATATTACTAGGGTCTAGGTTAAAAGCGCAAGTGCTATAATAAGTTTCGTCTTTTTTCGGTTATTATTATTATTATTTAGCGAAAGTTATTGCTTCAGGATAAAAATAACTAGTGTGGTTTTTGTGTTACCACAAGTATAGTTGGCTCCAGAACAAACGGGAATGGAATTTTTGTACAATGTAAAATGTACTTGTCTCTTACTTGTCAATTTTGACTATTTTGACACAAAATTTTTGCAATGTCATTATTGTTCTAACCTATTTCAAAATACTCCCGTTTAAACTAGGAAAATTCACACAGTAATCTGTCACACTAACTTTGACAGTTCCCATTTTTTCTGGAGCCAACTGTATATAGGATGACTCTTCAATTCCAATATGTGCAGTCTTCTTTTCACAACAAGAAAGGTAAAACATGTTGAAAATAGTAAACTTGTATAGGGAAATATCGATTTTGCAATTACGCTCCGCCCCTCGGTCTAACAACGAATGAAAAAGTCATCACGATTGAGATTGAGACGGATGGGTATATGTAATACAATTACTCAAGAACATATTTTACATGGTAATTTCTCGTAGAAAAATAAGGATTTTACAATTAAGCCCCGCCCCTCGGCTTACGACGAATAAAAAAATCATCAGAATAGAGATAGGGCGGGTGGGCGGGGCTTATATTTGGTCCATTTTTTCTTAATATACGAAGTCTTCTTTTACCAACAAGAAACTGACAATATGTTTAACTGTCCTGTTGTTAAAAGAAAACTCTATATAAAAAAAATCTACCCCCCCACCCACCCCGATTTCAATTGTGACATCAATATTTCTCTAAAAAATCTACCCTTTTAAAAGCATATTTCGTATGGTAATTTCTTGTAGAGAAACGAGGGTTTTGCAACTCAACTCCGCCCTTCAGCACACGATGAATAGAATATTCATCACAATTGAGATAGGGTGGGTGGGCGGGGCTTATATTTGGTCCATTTTTTCTTAATGTACGAAGTCGTCTTTTCCCAACGAGAAACTGAAAACATGTGTCTCTATCATGTTGTTAAAAAAAACTCTACATAAAAAAAATCTACCCCGATTTCAATTGTGACATCAATATTTTTCTAAAAAAATCTACCCTTTTAAAAACATATTTCATATGGTAATTTCTTGTAGAGAAACGAGTATTTTGCAACTAAACTCCGTCTTTCAACTCACGATGAATAAAATATTCATCACAATTGAGAAGGGGTGGGTGGGCGGGGCTTATATTTGGTCCATTTTTTGTTAATATACGAAGTCTTCTTTTACCAGCAAGAAACTGATAATATGTTTAACTATTCCGTTGTTAAAAGAAAACTCTTTATAAAAACAATCTGCCCCGCCCACCCACCCCGATTTCAATTGTGACATCAATATTTCTCCAAAAAAATCTACCCCATTTAAAAGCATATTTCATATGGTAATTTCTTGTAGAAAAACGAGTATTTTGCAACTAAATTCCGTCCTTCAACTCACGATGAATAAAATATTCATCACAATTGAGAAGGGGTGGGTGGGCGGGGCTTATATTTGGTCCATTTTTTCTTAATATACGAAGTCTTCTTTTACCAGCAAGAAACTGATAATATGTTTAACTATCCTGTTGTTAAAAGAAAACTCTTTATAAAAACAATCTGCCACGCCCACCCACCCCGATTTCAATTGTGACATCAATATTTCTCCAAAAAAATCTACCCATTTAAAAGCATATTTCATATGGTAATTTCTTGTAGAAAAACGAGTATTTTGCAACTAAACTCCGTCCTTCAACTCACGATGAATAAAATATTTATCACAATTAAGAAGGGGTGGGTGGGTGGGGCTTATATTTGGTCTATTTTTTCTTAAAGTACGAAGTCGCCTTTTCCCAATGAGAAGCTGAAAACATGTTTATCTATCCTGTTGTTAAAAGAAAACTCTATATAAAAAAATCTGTCCCGCCCACCCACCCCGATTTCAATTGTGACATCAATATTTCTCTAAAAAAAATCTACCCTTTTAAAGACATATTTAATATGGTAATTTCTTGTGTAGAAACGAGTATTTTGCAACTAAATTCTCTCCTTCAACTCACGACGAATAAAATATTCTTCACAATTGAGATGGGGTGGGTGGGCGGGGCTTATATTTGGTCCATTTTTTTCTTAACGTACGAAGTCGTCTTTTCACAACGAGAAACTGAAAACATGGTTATATATCCTGTTGTAAAAAGAAAACTCTATATAAAAAAAAAAAATCTCCCCCGCCCACCCACCCCGATTTCAATTGTGACATCAATATTTCTCTAAAAAAATCTACCCTTTTAAAAGCATATTTCATACGGTAATTTCTTGTAGAGAAACGAGGATTTTGCAACTAAACTCCGCCCTTCAACTCACGATGAATAAAATAGTCATCACAATTGAGATGGGGTGGGTGGGCGGGGCTTATATTTGGTCCATTTTTTTTCTTAATGTTCGAAGTCGTACAATATCATACCATGTCTTTTTGTATCATGTTTATTTCTTTACAATAAATTAAAAACATGTTTTTGAATATCATGTTGATCAAAGAATACTATGTATATTAAAAAATATAAATCCCGCCCACCCACCCCATCTCAATTGTGATGATTTTTTTATTCTTAGAAACTTAAAACACGTTTGAAATGGTACGCTTTTGTTAGGAAATATGAATTTTGCAATTAAGCTCCACCCTAGGTCTGCCAACGAATGAAAATTTCATTACTATTTAGATCAGGGCAAGTCTTTGATTTTTTCTTAATATATGTACATAGTATTCTTTGAAGAACACAATACTCAAAAATATGTCTTACATGGTAATTTCTTGTAGAGAAGTAATGAGGATTTTACAATTAAATTCCGCTCCTTTGGCTCTAGACGATTAAAAAAAATCATCACAATTGAGATCGGGAGGGTGGGCGGGGCTTATATTTTGCCTTTTTTTTTAATATACGTAGCCATTTTTTCATAACAAGAAACTTGGAACATGGTTAAAATTATACACTTTATTGGGCGGAGCCTACTTGCAAAATCGATATTTGCTATATAAAAAAAATCTGCCCCGCCCACCCACCCCGATTTTAATTGTGACATCAATATTTCTCTAAAAAAATCTACTCTTTTAAAAGCATATTTCATACGGTAATTTCTTGTAGAGATACGAGGATTTTGCAACTCAACTCCGCCCTTCAGCACACGATGAATAAAATATTCATTACAATTGAGATGGGGTGGGTGGGCGGGGCTTATATTTGGTCCATTTTTTTCTTAATGTACGAAGTCGTCTTTTCCCAACGAGAAACTGAAAACATGTTTATCTATCCTGTTGTTAAAAGAAAACTCTATATAAAAAAATCGGCCGGGTGGGCGGGGCTTATATTTTGTCTTTTTTTCTTAATATATATAGCCATCTTTTCATAACAAGAAACTTAGAACATGGTTAAAATTATACACTTTATGGGGCGGAGCCTAATTGCAAAATCGATATTTCCTTATAAAAATTTTCCATTTTAAACATGTTTCAAGTTTCATGTTATTAAAAGAAGTCTACACATACTAAAACAAAAAGGCAAAATGTAAGCCCGCCCACCCGCCCTATCTCAATTGTGATGATTATTTTTATTCGCCATGAACCAAGGGGGCGGGGCGGAGCTTAACTGCAAACCACTTATTTTCATGGTACAAGAAGACATGATATGCTACTCCGGTGGATGAATTTTCGTCTGCTTTGCGCACCAGCCACGTGATAACTCATTACCTTGAAAACCGTGCCTGAAACGCTCTTCTGACAACTTCTAGAGCTGTTAAATGTAAATTTATCAATGATATGTGAGGTTATAACGGAGGTTTAGATTCGGTTCAGTTTTTAATCATGGGTTAACTTATCTTCGAAGGTACTGAGTTCAAATCAAATGCTAATAACATGGTTCATTGACGAACATGAAAAAAGCCAGAATTTAAAGTTGGCAGTCATGTCTGCCACATGACGTCACACAAAATGCGCAATATCATACCATGTCATCTTGTACTATGCATATTTCTTTAAAGAAATTAAAAACATGTTTCTGAGTATCCAAAAAATACTATGTATATTAAAAAATTTAAACCCCGCCCGCCCACCCCATCTCAATTGTGATTTTTTTTTTATTCTTAGAAACTTAAAACACGTTTAAAATGGTGAAGACAACGAATGAAAAATTCATCATAATTGAGAATTGCAATTGGGGCGGATATAGGTGGGGCTTAATCTTTGGCTTTAATTTTTTCAAAGTATTTCTCTGAGAGAAATAAGGATTTTGCAGTTAAGCTCCGCCTTCTTGACTCACGACGAATAAAAAAAATCATCATAATTGAGACAGGGTGGGTGGGCGGGGCTACATTTTGATTTTTTTTTTTTTTCTTAATATGTGTAGACTTATCTTGGCAACGAAACGGCAACTGTAAGGGGAACTTCAACGTTAACAGCAAATTTATAAATCCCACTTAAGAGTCTAGAAAAACATGCTATGTATCCCGTAGCGAAAGCGGTCGCTTTTGCCGGCTCGTCGCAGCGCGATCTGGCGGCCGCGCGCCGCACCGCTACGCCACTGACCTGTGGTGTTGTCCTCCCGACCATAGACAATCTTGGCGACTTCAATCCAGTTCCGGTTCTTGGTGGCGAGGTGTCTGAAGGTTTGCAGCGACTGGTCGTAGAGGAATGGCCGACTTCGAACCGCTTCGATTAAGCGTTCGGCATTCTTCATTATTTTCGGAATTTTGGCGATGTTATTGAACCGACGAGATGGCTGCGAGTTGGCGGCGCGTTGCGCGTTTGTTTGGCGTCTCGGAGACTGAATGCCGAGTTAAAACGCAAGCGCGACGCAACCGCAAGACGCCGAGGGCGGCACTGCGGCGGAAACTCGTCGGGGGGGATCCGGACTCGGCGTTGTTTGATAAATTACAAAAGAGAATCCACAACGCAATTTATTTAATCTTGAACTTGGGCGGCCTCGATAAGAAAACCAATTTTTTATTTTTTATATACATACTAAATCGGGTTTATTGGCGATTGCATTATAAATACACCCACGAGAAATAACAATAAATAATTTCCATTGCATAACATTTGTAACGTATTGCTAAAAATACAACACAATTACTACAACTACACTTCATTTAGTGTGATAAGCAGACGTGTGTAAATTTTAAATTGCGAGTATAAAAACGTTATTGATTAGTACTGCAATGTTCATTCTAGCGAAATTTATAACTTATGCCCACTGACTACCATAAATAAGCAGTTCCGGAAAATATCGGTACCACGAAGCCACCACATGCCCCCTTGTACCTTCGTGCCAATAAAACATACCAAAACAAACATATAATTACACTGGTATAATAATTCATACACAAAAAACCTATTGGATGTATGCAACCAGCAATACGCGGCGATCCCGCGACCCTACGCCACTGCAAAGGGCATTAAATGCTGCGTAGTTGCGATGACGTAGCGGCAGACGCAGCAGCAGCAGGAGCGTCACGCTTGGCGGGATCCCGAGGCAGCGGCCATGCGATGGTATGAATGACCTGTGAAGGGCGTTGCTCCCGCCCCCGTCCCCGCCCTGCCGCCCTGCCACTGCACCAGCAGCGGATCGGCGACGGCGACGACGACCACGGCGGAATACGCGCTGTCGTGGTTGCGTTGAGCTGCGGCGTTGCCGGCTCGTGCGCCGCCCAATTACGTCACAGTTTAAAGCGCCGAGCGGACGGCGGCTTGTTTTTCGGACTTTAAAATGCGGCGGACGTCGAAGGCGGCCTAATGGGGGGCGTGCGTCAGGGTGACGTCAATGCAAAAGTGGTGTTGGTGGGACGGGGATGTGCGTATTTTGGGGTAATTGGGATGGGTTTTTTGGGTAGAACTGGTTTGTTTTTGTTGCGGACGTTTTGGTGGGTTGAGTTGGTAATGGAGTCAAAGTCTAGGGTTTTTAATTGAGGTTAATTGTGGTGGTTTTATAACAGTATTGGGTTTGCAAATTCTGGGTATTGGTTTGAACTTTGAAATTAATATTTTTTATAATTTTTAGATATTCGGATATAGGGCAAACAATGGAATTTTTTTGTACGTGTGTTTTAATGATGATAAATTGTTTATGAGAACTGCGTGCTAAATTCTAGGCTAAATTAAATAACAAAATGGATTCACAACAATGGCCTACTCTAATTTGTCATATTTTTTAACCTTTAACCACAATGCAGTGGTTTAATCAATAGATTGAATTGTAAAAGTGCATGATATCTTGAACTTTGATGGATGTTTGTCTATGGATTCATAGTTTTTAGTATTCCTTATACAGGTGACCCCAAAAAAATATTTTTTTTTTGTTTCTTTATTATATATTTATTTTTTCATTTTCTCAATTTTTTATTTTAATTATGTATTTATATTTTCATTTCCTTTATTTGTTCAATCCACAATATCTCATTTTTCGATTTTGCACTTTTTCGATTTTGAAGTTTTTCAAATCTCTCAATTTTTTTTAGTTTTTCGTTTCAACAATTTTTCAGTTCTTGTTTTCCAATTTTTAGATTTTTCAATTTTCATTTTCTACTTTTTCGTTTTTCATTGATTTTGCAATTTTACAATTTTGAAATTTTTCCATTTTTTAACTCGAAAAGTTGAAAAATCGAAAAATTTTGAAACCAAAAAGCGGGACTCTTATAAATTGAAAATTAATGAATCAAAAAATTGTAAAGAAAAACCGAACCGAATCGAAAATTTGGAAAACCCATGAATTATAAAATCGAAAAATAATAAAATCCTGAAAACTGTAAAGTCGAAAAATTGTTAACATTGAAGAAACTGAAAAATCTGAAACTGAAAAAACGAAAAATTAAACAAATCTAAGAGTTGGAAAATAAAAAAATTGGAAACCGCAAAACTACAAACCGAAAAATTGAAAAATCCAAAAATTGAAGATTCCACATTGAAAAAAGGACATGAAACCAGAACATCGAAAAATTGAAACATCCACAAGTTGGAAAATTGGGAAAACTGAAAATTTTTTAAATAAAAAGTTGCATGGAAAAATTGTAAAAATAAAGACAATAAGAACCGAAAAATTGCAAATCGAAAAACTAAAAATCTACAAATTAAAAAAAAAAATACATGAAACAGTTATAAAATCCCATTACTGAAAAATGAAAAAATTCTAAAATCTAAAGTAGAAAAATTGGAAATTTTTTAAATTATAATTATTATTACAAATTTAAAATGAAAACTAGAAAAATTACAAACACAAAATTGAAGAAACGAAAAACTGACAATCTACAAACTAAAAAAACCAAAATTTAAAAAATCTAAATTAAAAAGTTGAAAAACCAAAAAATTGCAAAAAAAAAATAAAATAAAGAACCCAAACGAAAAAATGCAACTCGAAAATTGCGGAATCTAAAAATTGAAACATCCAAAATTTTGAAAATCGAAAAACTGAAACATTTTAAAATGAGACCTCGTATATCGTAAAAACCAAAAAAAGACTATTTAAAAAATTGGAAATCGAAAAATTGGGAAAGGTAAAATTTAAAAAAATGGAACTGAGAAAACAAACAAAATAAAAACCAAAACAAAAAATTGCAAAGTAATAAGGTGGAAAGTTATATATTGAAACTTCGAGAACTGAAAAATCTCAAACTGAAAAAAAAAACAAAAATTAAAAAATCTAGAAGTTGAAAAATTAAAAAATTGAAAACCAAAAATTGAAGAAACAAAAAATTGAAAAATTGACAAACTGAAATATCTGAAATTGAAAAAAGCGAAAAATTGAAAATTTCAAAAATTAAATGAGTTAACATTGAAAAACAACGAAAATTATAAAATCAATACATTAAAAAACCGAAAAATTAAAAAAGAAAAAATACCCCACCAAAAAACTGCAATTCAAAAAGTGAAACATCTAAAATTTGAAAAATCAAAAAAATGAAAAATTTAAAAATTGCAAATCGGGAAGTTGAAGAAACAAAAAATTGGAATTAAAAAACAAAATCGAAACATTAAAAAGTTGAATGATTAAAAAATTAACAAAATAAAAAACGAAAACGAAAAATTGTAAATCGAAAAAGTGAAAAAACGAAAAATTAAAAAATCTAAACGATGACAAATAGAAAAATTGGAAACCCAAAAACTGGTCAAATCTGAATATTGAAAAACTGAAAAAATAAAGAAAATAAAATGTCGAAATGAAAAATTACAAATCGAGAAATTGAACAAATGACAAATTAAAAACTCCTGAAATTCCAAATCGAAATATTGTAAAACCTGAAAATTGAAACATGAGTGGGAAAAACGATAAACTTAAAAATCGATTAATTACAAATCGAAAACATTGGAAAAAAAATCAAAAAACGAAATTAAAAAAACAAAAAATTATGAAATCGGAATATGTAATGAAAATTCGAAACATTGTTATATTGAAAAAAAATCAAAGAAATGAAAAAGTTGTAAAATTCCATACCTGAAAAATGAAAAATTCTAAAATCCAAAGTTGACAAAGTGAAAATTTTGTTTAATTATAATTATTATTAGATACATATGTAAAATGAAAACTAGAAGAATTACAAACCAAAAATTGAAGAATCGAAAAATTAAAAAATCGGCAAATTGAAAAATCCGAAGTTGAAAAAACGAAAAATTAAGAAATCTAAACTGAAAAGTCCAAAAATTTAAGAATTTCAGATTGAAAAAAACTGAAAAAATAAAAATACTAAAAAACCGAAATGAAAAAATACAAATCGAGAGATTGAAGAAATGACAAATTAAAAACTCCTGAAATTGCAAATCGAAAAATTGCAAAATCAAAAATTGAAACACTCACAAGTTGGAAAATCGGAAAACTGAAAAATCTAAAAATGGAAACTCGAAGAGTTGCATATCGCGAAATGGAACGAAAAAAAATGAAAAATCGATTAACTGCAAATCGAGAAAATTGGAAAAAACGAAAAATTAAAGAATCGTTTAAATGGTAAAGTAAAAAACATTAAAAGATCGAAAAATTAAATATCGAGAAACTAAAAAATTCTAAAATCGTAAAATTGAAAAAGTGACAAATTTTAAAATTACAATTATTATTACATATTTAAAATGAAATGTAGAAAAATTGCGAATCAAAAATTGAAGAAAACCAAAAAATTGAAAAACTGAAAAATTGGAAAAACAACGCAAATAAAAAAAAACTAGGAGTTGGAAGCGAAAAATTGTAAAAAAAAAGAAAATAAAAACCGAAACGAAAAATTGTAAATTGGAACATTTGAAGCAGTGAAAAATTGAAGAAACAAGAAAACGAAAAATAGAAAAATCGCAAATCGAAAATGAAAAAGTGAATATTTTCAAAATTGCAATTATTATTACATATTTAAAATAAAAGGTAGAAAAATTGAAAAAGAGAAAAACTATAAAATCAGAACATTAAAGAACGGAAAAATTAAGCCAAAAAAAACTAAAAAATTGAAGTGAAAAATCGAAAATTCGCCAAATCTAAATGTTGCAAAGTCGAAAAACTGAAAAATATCAAAATGAAAACTCGTAGAGGTGCCTGTCGTAAAAATTGAAAAAATTGAAATCGAAAAAACAAAATAATAAAATCCAAAAATTTAAAAAAAAAAAGAAATTGATAACTGAACCGAAAAATCGCAAATTAAACATTTTAAGAAATGAAAAATTGAAGAATCAAAAAATTTGCAAAATATTAAAATTGAAGAAACGATAAAATTCAAAAAATGGAATTAAACAAAAAATTATAAAATCGGAACACTGAAAAATCGAAAAATTGTAAAAGTAAAGAAAACAAAAAGCGAAACGAAAAATTTCAAATCGAAAAATCGGAAAACCCAAAAGTTGCAACATTGAAAAATTATAAAATCGCCTTAAAGTCGAAA